GGGCCGTGTCCAGTCCTGACTTCATCAGTTAGCAGTCACAAAACAACAGAGACACACAACGTTCATGAGAGGAGAAGCAGAAGGGCTCCTGAGGAGCAGGTCAGGCACTAAAATGGTGAAAGAGAAAACTCTCTCCTTTCTCGACGTCCCCCCCGAGACTGGAGGGAGAAAGCAGCAGAAGATGAGGCTCTGGGAAGCAGCCCATCCCAGACGGCCTCAGCTCTGCTCCACAGTAGTCTCAGGAGCTGTGAGAAATCCCTGACCAAGCCTGTCAGAGGCCCTTCTCCAAACAACCAGCTGGGATGTTGCTGATAGCGACTCACCTGCTTTGCACTCACTCACCTGCACAGGTGCTTCTTGGGCCCTCTCCCTCGGACACCCAAACCACTTCCCCTCGCTCCAAATGACCAATCACAGCTGGTTTAGAAACTGCTAGTCCTGCACATGGGAATGCAAAGATGCTGGCTCAGAATTTGGACCATCTCTCACAGGGAAAAATGGGAATGCCAGGAAGGCCTAAAGAGAGGGACAAAGGACCACTGACCTGGGCTCCTAGGACGTACAGGAGAATGCATTAAGGAGTGAACCTGGCCCCAGAAAGGACCCCCCCAAGACCATGGGAACCTTCCATGTCTCCAATATCTACACAGGAACTTTAGGGAAGGATCTCGGACTTGAGGGGAAAAGGAACAACACAGGAAGAACCTCAGGACCACACAATGAACCTGCCAATGTCTTTCACCTGGACACAGGCAGAAGCAGCCTGTGACGTGGCCACAGAAGGATGGGCAACCTAGAGTTTCTGCAAAAGAAACAAGAACTGGGGGCAGCTAGGTGGCGCAGTGGATAAAGCACTGGCCCTGAAGTCAGGAGGACCTGAGTTCAAATCCGGCCTCAGACCAAACACTTGACACTTACTAGCTGTATGACCCTGGGCAAGTCACTTAACCCCAATTGCCTAAAAATAAAAATTTAAAAAAAAAGAAACAAGAACTGTTAAACACAGGAGAGAAGCCACAGCATTCAGTATGGAAGGAAGCAAAAGTTCCCCATTACAGAGAGTCTGAGTCCCTGGGAAGCCATCCTTACCCAGCCAGACCAGGTTCCTATAGTTCTCCAGCATCACGTCCCTGTACAGCTGCTTCTGGGCAGGGCGCAGGCATTCCCACTCCTCCAGGGTGAAGTCCACAGCCACGTCCTTGAAGGTCACTGATTCCTGAAATACCAATTCTATTTCTGCATCTTCAGGGCCCCTTGAGGGATTCAAGAGGTCAAGGCTGGTTTTCACAGAATGCAACAAGGGAGAAGGCCCCTCAGAGGCCATCTAGTGCAACCCACACCTGAACAAGCACCGGAGGTACCACTTCCTCAGCAGGTGGGGAGAGCAGTCCAAGACGGAATGCTTGAGCTCAGGAGTTCTGAGCTACCCTAGGAGCAAAGTCAATCAGGCGGCTCTTCCAACCAGAGCACCAACACAGCGACCCCCCAAATCAGAACTTTACATTGCTCCTATTAACTCAATACCACAGACCTTTATTTGGGGACTCTTAATTTCAAGGCAAAGGACATGAAAATGAAATGACCAATGAGCTTTTCCTTCAGGGGCCTAAGTTTTACGTGGGATAAAAAGAAGTACAATGCGTACATAGGTGAGTAAATGAAAGCTTGTTTGAGGACAGCATGCACCATTGGTCAAAGGAATGTGGAATACCTTGGAAGAGGAGGTAGTAGCTGACCTGAGCCTTGAAGGATGCCAGAGGATATAAGGGATGAAAGAGCACAAAAGGGCCTTCCCCAACACAGGCTCTGCCCTCAAGGAGCTGACCCTTTCATAAGAAGAGACCACACAAGGGGAGAGGTGGCTGGGCAAGGGAGCTTTGGGGGATTATTCAGGCACAGTGACAAGTAAGATGCTAGCATACACCCTAGATCCCTGTAGATAACTAGCAGCAATGTGAAACATGGTTTCTGGCTGCTTACAATGAGTGTCTACTTCTCACTCATTCACAAACAGCATAGCTAACTTATAAGGACAGCTAGGTCCAGTGGATAGATCACTAAGTCCTGCCTGTTCAAATTTGGCCTCAACCGCTTACTAGCTGTGTGACCCTGGGCAAGTCACTTAACCCCATTTGCCTCAGTTTCCTCCTTTGTAAAATGAGCCAGAGAAGGAAATGGCAAGCCACTTCAGGATCTTTGCCAGGAAAACTCCAAATGGGGTCATGAAGAGTCGGACGTGACTGAAATAACCACACAACATAGTTCACCTATGAGTGAACTGAGTGGGAGCTGGGATAGGGGGCGGAGGGAGGAGGTAATGATCTCATCAACAAACTCTCACATACCTGGTAATCCTCACTGGGCAGGAGGACAGGGGCCATTCTCCCTTCTGGATGCTCCCGCTTCCAGGGAAAGCACAGAGTCCTCAGGAATCAGAGCAGGAGAAGAGAACCATAAGCAGGTGCATGTCTGGCCCTCTCTTGTAGCCTCCACACCCCGTCCAAGAGATGCCCCTCCAACACCCTGCTGAGCTCGAGATCTCCAGGGAGCTCTGGGCTGTTCCTTCTGATCATACCCAATCAGGCCATCTAATCTGAATGCCTGCTACGGGCCAGGCTCTGTTCCAGGCACAGAGGTAATGAGCAAAGAAAGGCCTACGTTCTTTCCTGCTCTCAGGGACCTTTCCTTCTGGTGGGGCTGATATTCCAGAGTCTGCTGCTAAAGGCTGAATAGTCTTCCAGTATTTACAAACACACTCACTTTGAAGTTTAATCTGCATTTTTAACATTTTCTCAGTCCTTTAAGACCAGGCAATCGATGAATCAAACCCTGACCTGTGGACTTTGAGTTTTCCAAACTGTAAACACTCACAAAGAAAATTATACGCCTGATATGAAACATACGCATATAAGTAAATACGAGAAAAGTTAAGGAAAGAGAACTATGTCCTGGTGGGGTGGGGAAACAGTATCAGGAAAAACTACCCAGAGGAGTTGGTTCTGAGAAGGGCCTTGAAGGAAAACAAGAACTCTGAGAGCCCAGGGTAATGAGGATATATCAGAAGGGGGCTGTTGATGATGGGGACGAAGATGGCCTATAGAAATACATGCAAGCAGGAGATGAAATGCCTCCGTTACGAGAGAGCTAGTCGATTAGGTCTGTATACAGTCTAAAGCTCTTTCTGGAAATATGTTGATGAAAGAACCTCTGAACAACATTCCTGGGCTGGTGAACAGATTGGGGCCCAATGAAGGGAATTAATCCGGATAAACTGAAGCGAGCCGGAGAGAAATAGGACTTGAACACCAGGCTAAGGAGCCTGTACTTTGTGCCAGGGAGCTGCTCAATATCTAGGAGCACAATTACAGATTCATTCCCAGGCCTTGGGAAGGACATCTCACAGATCCTCTGAAAACTGGGCGGGAAGAAGCCAGAAGCAGGTAGATCAGTTAGGAAGCAAGGATGGCTGTAGGAATGACACAGGGCAATGGCCTCAGCCAGAGTCCTGCATGTGCAGATGAAGTAAAGGGAGGGGAGGGTGGAAGAGATGGAAGACAGGAGCTTTCGTCTAGGCCCCCCAGGCTTCCAGTCATGGGAGTTCACCACCTCTGTCATCCTTGCCCTTTCATTCAAGTCTAATCAAGCTCCTGATTCCACCACCTTGTCCACCCTTTTGTGTCCACCCTCAGAGCCAGCACCCAGGTTTATACCCTCATCGCATCTCACCTTCATCTACCCTTGCAACAGCCTTTAACGGTTTCCATTAAGAATACTCTGTAAAGACGAGGCCTGACCATGCCACCACCCTATACAGTAAACTCCAGTGGTTCCTTATTGTTGTTCAATTGTTTCAGTTGTGTCTGCCTCTCCCTGACCCCATTTGGGGTTCTCTTGGCAGAGATACTGAAGTGGTTTGTCATTGCCTTCTCCAGCTCATTTTACAGATGAGGAAAATGGAGGCAAATAGTTAAAAGACTTGCCCAGGGTCACACAGCTAAGGTCAGACTGGACTCAGAAGACGAGTCTTCCCGATTCCACGCCCAGCACTCTACTCACTGTGCCACCCGGATGCCCAAACAGTTCCTTACTGCCTCTAATATCACACTGTAATGCAGAACATTATTTTGCCATTTAGGTAGTAAGGCCCTTTAAGCCATGGAAAGCAAAAGTTGGTGCTTAATCTTGCCCCAGACCTCTTTCCTCCTAAATGTAAACAATAGTGAAATGTTCTCTTGCATAGCTCAGCACAGCCCGTACCTCCAACGCAAATGGATGAGAAAGCTTGCGATATAATGGCTTTAGATAATTACGTTTATACCAGAGACCAGGACACCTGGTCTGGTTTGTGTGATCCCTGACCTGTAATGATGGGGTGCTCGGATGCTTGTGCTTATACTTTTGCCCCAAAATGCCTCCCTAGTCTCAGAAACACCATCTCTAACAACCACTCCCCAGCCCAAGGACCCTGTGCCTAGCAGTCATCCATGCATGGGCCTCAGCAGGACCCTTATCTCTCTCCCTGGTACAGCTACACAGAGCTGGGCTGCTCAGGCCCCAGCCCCCAGATCATGTCTCTGGAAGCCTCCCAATTCCTCAGTAAGTTCCTGTGTTGTGAGAAAGCTTTCCCTTGTTGCAGAGCATTCTCTCATCAAGACAGAGGGAGAGGGGTGTCCTTGGCCAGCCCAAGGACTCTTCCTCCTGCCAGACTCCAAAGATCCATACCTCTGTCATCTCCCTCCCTGTTCAGTATACTCCCTGTACTTTCCCATCCATAGCCCCCAAAGACACCTGCACCTTTGGATTATCTCATCAGTGTTCCTGGCATTTCTTTCCCATGCTCTTTTCCAAATAAACCCTAGCTCAAACCCTGATCAGGGCTGCTTGATTTGGATGTGCATACCCCTTGCAGCCGCTAAATCCATGTTTTAAATTACTCCTGGGTTTCACTCGCTGATTTCTCGGTACAACATATAATAAATATCCTTACAATGTGACCCAACCCACCTTTCCATGTGCTATGCCTCCCACCCAGTGCTCCATGGGCGGACCAACCCTGAGCATTTTTAGGGGCTGCTCCCCAGGCCTGGAATAGCTTCCTTCCTCATCCCTGCCTCCCGGCTTATCTGGCTTCCTCCCGGTGCAGCTAAAACGCCCCCTCTGACAAGAAGCCTTTCTCCGTCCTCCTCAAGGCTTCCAGCCTTCCACCAGCTGACTTACAGACTGCATCCTGCACACCTCGTCTGTCTCAATCGAATGACAGGTACTAGGCATCTACAGTGTGCCAGGCACGGCACTCAGCTGCTTGCAGCTCCTTTCCCTCATGAGCCTGGAAGCTCCTTGGGAGCAGGAACAGAGGTGCTTTGGGCCCGTCTCCGCCACCTTGCTCCAGGCCACCTTTGCAGGCCTATTCCCCAGCCCAGATGCCAGCTGGGTCTGCCTGCTTGCCTCTCTCACCTGTAGCGCTCTACCTCCCATCTTCCTTCCCCCGCCCCTCAGGGAATATCTCGCTTCCTGTAGGGCTCAGTGTCAGCACGCTTCCTCCGTGAAGCCCTGCAGGATCCCTCCCAAACCCAAGCCCCGTGCCTGCCCTCTCCACGCTGAAGATTACTTGGTCTTCATTTTTACTTTTCTAGTGACTTATATACGTGTGCCGGGACAGACCCCTCGCGCCCTCGGGGCACAGACCGTTTGACTTGCGTCTTTGTCTACCGTGTGCCTGACCTTAAGTCTAGCACGGGGGAAACCTTTCATTAGAGAATGGTCTGTTGGACAGAAGAGCACGGAGAAGACCCCATCCACGGGATGGGGGATGGGGTGAAGGACTCCAGGAGAAGAAAGGACGCTGACATTGCGAGATCGGGGGCTCGGGTGCCCGGGTGGAAGCAGGTGCCGTGCTCCCAGACGGAGGGGTGGAGGCGGAGGAATGATTCCGCTGGGAAGTGAGGATCGAGGACAAAAGCGGGGGAGGGGAGAGAAGGGGGGGCACCAGCGGGATCCACGCGGCGGGGCGGGGCGGCCTCGGACAGCGCCCGGGGATGCGGCTGGAAAGGGAGGCAGGGCGGAATGGGCAGACACCGGGCAGCGGAGCGCGGGCAGCGCCGGCCCGGAGAGGAGCGAGCGGCCAGGGAGGAGTGAAAGGGGAAGACGGAGGAGGAAAGGAACGGGAAAGTTACAGCAGAGGAGGGAGAAGGCGAGGCTGGAGGAGAGCGAGGAAGCACGTAGAAACAGGCCAGAAGGGGAAGTGGGAGGCGGGAAGGGAGGGGGAGAAGAGAGCCCGAGAGACGCAGAGGACCGGTCTGGGGGAGGAGCAGGGGAAGCGCAGGAGGGGAAGGGGCATAAGGAGGGGGAATGGGGAAGAGGAAGCTCAGGAGGGGGAGGGGCAGGGAGCAAGAGGAGGAGGAGGAAGGGAGGACTGTGGAGTGGAGGAGCTAAGAGGAAGGGCAGAAGTCAAAGAGGAGGAGGGAGAGGGAAACGCTCTACCTCAATCTCCACCAGGTTGCCTGAGGGAGGAGGGTTCCACACCCCCAAGTGCCCTCAGCCAAGGCGGTAGCGGACTACGGAAGCGTGGAGACCGCCAGAAAAAGCTTGACTTCTGGGAGGAACCGTAGTCACGTGGGGCAATGGGGCCTTCCACTGCGGTCGCAGCGCTTTCTGGGAAATGTAGTTCAGAAGGAAGAGGATGCGTGCACCTGTTCAAGAAAGTCTCCCTCCGTCTCTCTGCCTCTCTCCCTATCCCTCTCTTCTTCTCTCCCCCCCCCAATTGGGATTAAGTGATATGTATCTATTTTTAGTTTTCAACAATTGCTTTATAAGATTTTGAGGATGGCATTCTCCATCACGAGATCTTTGGAGATGTCTTAGATCCTCGCATTGCCGAGAAGGGCTAAGGCTATCAACGTCAGTCATCGCACAACCTGGCGGTTTCTGTGTACAACGTTCTCCTGCTTCTGCTCACTTCACTCAGCATCAGTCCATACAGATCTTCCCAGGTTAAGAAAGATGTTTAGAAGACAGGCATGCTGTAGGTCAGGAGAGCCTCTGCAAGGTCACTGCGACCTTTCTATGCATGCGTGTTCACCTGTTTGACTGATTGATAGGTAGATAGATAGATCCCCCTTCAGGGTATTGAGGGGCGTAGTGACATGCCACCATGTGGGTCCTTAGTAGGCAAGGTCTTTGGGTGGCTGTGAAATCATAGAACAAATCTGATTTGTGCGTGTGACCGCACAGTCTCCAGCAACCAAAGCGAGTAAGACAATATGCAAAGACTGTCACTTACATTTAATTAAATTGAACCAGTAAAAGATTTCTTTGAGCAGAAGAGGTAATCAAGGCTGGTAACTACAACCTGGCCAGTGAAGAAGTACTGGGACTATTTCTCATGGCGGTCTGTCTGTTTCCATGTATCTACAACTATGTCTGTACAGGGTCTGTCTGTGCCATTTTATTAGGATGGCTTTTAGAATACTGTGTGCAAGAAATGTAGAAGGAAAAACCTATCTGTGTCTCGAGATCTTATTTTAGTTCTTTAAGTCTTCAGAACAAGTCTCTCTTTATATTCCTGAACTCTAAGGAAGCTCTGGAAGTGCAAAGGGAAAGTTGTTTTACAGCCAAGAAAGGAAGGTCATTTTTCTGATTAGAGAGAAGCATGTAAGGAATAAGAGTGAGGTTTAAAAAAAAAAAAAAGCTTAAACTCACTTTTTAAATGTTAGCTCTTTCCTGGTTTCTGACAGAGATCTGGGAAGAATCAAAAAGTAGATAGGATTTGATTAGAAAATCTAATTGGAGTACAAATTAAAGTGAAGTAGAAATCAATTCAGAAATGACTTTTTGAATTAGTGTCTTTTGAAATTAGAAATTTTGAGGGGCAGCTAGATGGCACAGTGGATAGAGCACCAGCCCTAGAGTCAGGAGGACCTGAGTTCAAATCTGGCCTAAGACACTAGCTGTGTGACCCTAGGCAAGTCACTTAACCCCAATTGCCTTTAAAAAAAAGAAATTAGAAATTCTGCTGTAAATTATATGAGCCTCCTACCCAGTTGTGTGACAGATTATGTATGTGTATCTTAAGAATTGTCTTGCTTCTTGCCCATAAGATATACATTTATTTAAGAAAACATGGGCTGGGAGTAAAATTTTATCGGGATTAATTTTTTGCGTTCCGTCTGTGAATAATACAGCAGAACTTAAATGTCATTTCAATAGATCAGGTTTTTGTAAGCTGTTAAAGATTTTTCTAATTTCCAGAAGCATCTTTAAGGATCTCTGGTGCGTCCATCGCTTAGAGAGTAATAGAATTGGCAATAATTCAACAGAGTTTGACTGTCTGAAGTAAAGTCCTGACAAAGTACAACTATAACTGTAGTGAGTGAATGTTCTTAGTGAGTCACTGGTTTTGTGTAAACAACTACGCAGACTAAAATTATCAAAGAGAAACTCAGTGAAGTAAAGATTAGAGAATAGTAGCCCAAAATACTATCAGAATAAATAGGAGAATTTAGGGAATGAGAAAAACAATATGAATGTAATAAGAAAGGTGTGGGTTTTCAGACCACGGGAGAGGTGTATAACAAGAAGAAGAAGGTTTAATTATGTTGAAAGAAAGGTTTGAGGAAAATTTTGTCTTTGCTTAGGTGGGAAGACTGTGTGAAACTGCATGTATTTTATTGGGAAAAAATAGTAATAAAAAATTGCAGATTGATTTGGAAATAAATATGGGAAAGTGATAGGGAGCTGGAAACACATTGAGAAGCTGTGGGTTCTTTCTGAGATTTTAAGCAATCGGTAATTAGGAAATCCAGATTCGAACTAAATTAGAGTGTGTTCTTGAGTGTGCTTGCCTGTTGGGATAATTGGGGCAGATTAGAAATTAATATCAGACTGGCACTTTTAAAAATCTTTGGGGGGCAGCTAGGTGGCGCAGTGGATAGAGCACTGGCCCTGGAGTCAGGAAGACCTGAGTTCAGATCCAGCCTCAGACACATAACACTCACTAGCTGTGTGACTCTGGGCAAGTCACTTAACTCCAACTGCCTCACACACATTCACAAAAAACAAAAATCTTTGGCAGTGCGTCAGCTGGAAATGGTGGGCCCCATAGTATGAAATGTCTGGAATAAATGGCACTTGTGAAAAACATAATGCTAAATGATTGAGATTATAAATGGAGATTCTGTGTAATACCATTGGGAAAATAGATCCAGGTATAATTGAATTTATTCTGGTATCATTTTAAATGAAACGTGTCTCTCCTAATAAGATGCTTATGATAAGTCAGAACTTATTCTTTTTGGGATTAAGCCAAAGTGTTGGGAAAATGCACAGATGTGAAAATTTGTTAATTGTGTGATCTTAAGTTACCTCAGTTTACCTATCGGTAATGTAGATAATGAGAGTACTTAACATTAATTTGATAATTCATTCTATTAGAAATATTGGTTAAGTAGTAAGTTCTTTTTAAATCTGGATCCTTTTAAGTTATAAGTTAAATTGTTGTGGATTCACTTGTTGAAAGACTGATGTAAAGTGTTTGAAACTTTAGTTGGCAATGCAATAGAAAATAATAATGTTTTCACTGTGAATTTTGTATAGCAAGAACCTTTCTAAGATGTCCTCATCTTTATAATGAAGAGGTCTAATGACATTCTAAGACACTAAGAAATGATAAAACTAAATCAAAAGAATGAAAAAAATAGAAGAGGATGTGAAACATCTCATCAGAAAAACAACTGATCTGGAGAACAGATCAAAGAGAAACAATATAAGAATAGTCAAACTACCTGGAAAATTACTATATTAAAAAAAGAATCTTGATACAATATTACAAGAAATTATCAAGGAAAATTTCTCTGAAGTTCTAGAACAAGAAGGCAAAGTAAAAAAAGAAAAAAATCCATGGATCACCACCTAAAAGAGATCCCAGGAGGAAAACTTACAGGAACAGCATAGCCAAGTTTCAAAGTTCCCAGGTTGAGGAGAAAATATTGGAAGCAACAAGAAAAAAACAATTTAAACATCATGGAGCTACAATAAAGATTACACAAAACCTAGAAGCTACTACCTTGAAGAACAATAGGTCTTGGAATACTATATTCCATAGAGCAAAAGAACTGTGGTTACAACTGAGGGTAACTTACCCAGCAAAGTTAGGTATAACCCTGAATGGGAAAAAAAATGGACATTTAACAAACTCAAAGACTTTCAGGTTTTTCTGACAAAACCCCCAGAACTTAAGGGAAAATTCAACATAAAACATCCAGGAGAAATATAAGATAAAACATTGAAGACCAATGATAAGGGATTCAGTAAGGTCAAATTGTTTACTTTGTAGTGAAAATATTAACAGTACTCTTACAATTGTCATCACAATTTGGGTAGTTTGAAAAAAAGGTGTGAGCTGACCTGATTATGATGGGGTGATTCTAAAAAAATAAAACTGTGTAGGGAAAGATAAAAAGGAGTAATTATCTCATACAAATAAGGCATAAGGAAAAATAGATACAAGAAGCTAGGAGGGGGGAAAGGGAGTAGTGTTGGAACCTTATTCTCATTGGGAATGGATTAAAGAGGGAACAACATATACATCTAGAAGGGTATAAAAGTCTTCTAAATTCAGAAAGAAATAAGAGAACAAGGGGATAAGGTGGGGAAAGAGGATACGGGAGGGACTCTTAAGAGGGTGGGTGGGTAGGTTAAGGAATAGGAGGTCAAGGTAGCCGGTAGAAGTAAAGCAGAGGAGAGAGGAGGAATAGAGTAAACAGGGTGAGGATAGTGAGGAAAAATAGGAAGGAGGAAAATACACAAGCAATTGTAACTTAGAATGTGAATGGGACAAATTTACCCATAAAATGGAAATGGAAAGCAGATAAAAAAATCTGAATTCAACAATATGTTGCTTAAATGAGAGATACACACAAAGATAAAATAAAGGACAGGAGTAGAATTTAGTAGGTAAAAAAAGCAGGGATAGTAATCATGATCTCAAAGTTAAACTTAAAATAGATTTAATCAAAAGTGAAAAACAGAGAAACTACACAGTGTCAGCAATATTATTCAATATTGTTTTACCATTTAAAATACCTAGACAGTATAAAATACCTGAGCGTATAAGTGCCAAAACAGACATAGGTATTATATGAACATAAACATAAAACACTTTTTATACAAATAAACTCAGATCTAAATAACTGAAGTAATACTTACTGTTCATGGGTAGGTAATGCCAATATCATTTTCTAAATGACAGTTTTAAATATCTACTCAGGGTCATCCCAACTAAAGCACTAAAAAAAACCCCAACTTACTGAGTTAGAAAAAAACAACAATAAAGTTAATTTTGTTTGGAAGAAGAAAAAGTCATGAACTTCAAAGAAACCAGGGGGAAAAGATGTAAAGGAAGTAGATTCAGCAGGATCAGACCTTAAACTATATTATAAGGCAAGAGCATTAAGTGTAAAAAGGATTTTTATTATTTTAAATTAAAATTACCTTGTATAAATGAAACCTATGTAGCCAAGAACAGAAGGAATACAGAAAATTGGGGGTAAAAACTTCCAAGGACAATCTCTTAGATAGGATGTGATTGGGTTGGAATATTGCTGTTGCATAGGAAATGATGAGCCAGTTGATTTAGAAAAACATGGAAAGACTTGGACTTATGAAGATGCTATCCACCTTCAGAAAGATTCTGGAGAAAATAAAGCATATATGTGTATGAGTGTATATATGTGTATGTTAATAGATATCTATCTATCTATCTATCTATCTATATATCCATTATATATATGTACATATGTATGTGTGTATATACATATGCACATGTATACATATATATGTATGTATATATACCCATGCTTAATTTTAGCCTTCTTTAGGATTGGGAAAAATAAAGTAAAAAGTGCACAGCAGAGAAAAGAAAACCAACAAGGAAGCAAAGAAAAGCTGGGCAGCTTTGAAAACAACATGTAGTATTTATTATATAGGTTTTCTTGAAATGGAAATTTATTTTTTTACATCAAATCCTCTCTTATGGTCTGCTGTGTACATGGCAATGTTTTTTTTTCTTTTCTCATTTTGTAATAAAGTTTAACATAAAAAAATTTACCAAAAAAATCATATTGCTTTCATTAAAATGTTTATATTAACAAAAATAACGTACCATATATGGAAGTCAAGAAAAAAAAGGGGAAAAGGTGGTAAACCCAGATCAAGAATAACAGTTGAGGTCAGGATTTGTACCCTATATAGGAGCTGCATGTCTATACAAAGTAAGTACCTTCTTCAGGTTTGGAACAGGGAGGCGCTGGACATGGCAACCACTGAATTACATGACCAAAAAATATTGATTACACTTTTATAGAATTGCTTATTACTAATGTAGAAACCATTCCTGAATTTGATATGAACTAGATAGAAAGGGGTTTCAGCAGCCATCTAATCCCACCCATAGGCAAAGAGGAACTCCTGCTACTACACCCTTGACAAGTGTGTCATCTGGAGTCTATGTGCTTTTGGAGACCTCCAATGACAGGAAGCTCACTACTTGTTAAGGAACCCATTCTGGAGGGCTTGAATTGTTAGGGAGGCTTTCTGAACATCAAGCCTAAATTTGCCTCTTTGAAGTGTTTGCTTCTCTTTTCTAAAGTCCAAATAAAGCTGAAGCTGGTGAGGTTTTCTGTAAAACTACAGTTGGGGTGAAAAAGTTTTTGTTTAAGTCATTCCTTCTCTCTGCTGTACTTTTCCCACTTTGGCCTCTGACACACTTTTGACAATCTTTTCTCAGTCAGCCAACAAGCATTTATTACTAGTGCTAAGTCCTGAGGATACAAACATAAGCAAAAAGAAAAGGTCCCTGGCCACAAGGAGCTTACATTCTAATGTAGGAAGATAATATGTAAAAGGGAAGGTGAAAAAAAAAAGCTGAAATGTGGGGGGAGGGGAAGGAGATGCCAACTTAGGGGAATTGTGAAGTCTAGCAAATGAGGAATGGCTGGTCTGGGCCCTTCCCAGAAAAAGAAGTTCAGTGAGATCCCCAATGGGAAGAGAGGCAAAATGAAGTAAGGCCAAGGGTAAAACATTCCCCTTAAAAGACTAGGAACATAAAAATAAGCAGTTAGGGGGAAAAAAATAGTACACAAAATCATATGAGAATCAAGTAAGTGCAATGTCTCTGAAGACAAGGGGACAATATGCAAAAGGAGGTTAGCAATCAATAGTGTCTAAGACTTCAGAGGGAAAGAGATGGAAACACGACTATTGAATATTGTAACTAGGAAGACGATGATGATTTTCAAAAGAGCAGTTTCAGGTGAGTGGTTGGAAGAAATCAGATTGCAAGGCATTGTAGAGATGGTGGTGATGGTTATGATGAATTACGGACAATGTATATAAGAACATTTTAAAAGAAGCTTGGAAGTAAAGAGCAGAAGATAAATGGGTTGGTGCCTGCAGAAAAAGTACAGCTGCATGAGAATGATGGATTTGTTCTGTTTTGGTATTGGGAGAATTGGGGTATGTTTGTGCATAACTAGAAATAAGCCAGTCAAGAGTAAAGACTGGAGAGAGAGGGGGTGGGAAGAGAGAGAGAGAGAGAGAGAGAGAGAGAGAGAGAGAGAGAGAGAGAGAGAGAGAGAGAGAGAGAGCGCGCATGTGTACTAGAATAAAGTTCTGGAACAGTAAGGAAAGGATAATATCAAGGGCACAGGCCAAGGATTTAGCCTTAGCAAAGTGTACATATTCTTCTACGACTGCAAGACAGTTTGGAGGCATAGCTGTGCAGATTTGGAGGATTGGGAGATAAGGGAGTGAACAACTATGAGACTGCCATCATTTTCTCAGTAAATATATTTATAGTGGTCTTAGCAATCAAGATTTGAGCTATGGAAAGGGCTCTAAAAGAGAAGGACCTCTAGTCCTTGCCATAAAAGGGGCAGGAACAGCCTTGCCCATGTGCGTTTCTTTCTACGTATGCCTCACTCCTATTACACTCCAAGTTGGTGGTCACTCTTCCCACACACCTTCGGTAGTTCTGTGAGTGTAACCCAGGTTGCTGGGAGGGTTTTATAGCTATTGTTCTTACCATTCATCTTAATAAATACCTTTGCTCTGAGCTAAAAAAAATATGTTATTTATTATCTTCATAAGATTTAAGGAGACACCTGTGGTCTTCAGGAAAAAAAGGTTTGGAATAGCCACTGAGAAATGAGACAGAAATTTGCTTCATTTATAGGGATTTCCTTTTATATTCTTTAATATTAAATGGATATGTGCTTTGGCTGAAATTTTGCTCATGCTACTTAAATGCAAAATCATTGCATTCACAAAGTTTCTCTCCAGTATGATTCCTATCATGTTTCTTCTCAAGGAAGAACTTCCCATATTCATTACATTTAGTTTCCTTTGTTATGAACTCACTCATGTTGATTAAGCAATCAGCTAGTCTAGGAAGCCCTTTCCTCATGCCTGAGTTTTTTCTCCAGTATGAATTATCTGATGTTTTCTAAGCTCTCTGTTCTGGCAAAAGGATTCTCCACATTCATCACATTCATAAGGTTTCTCTCCAGTATGACTTTTCTGATGTTTGGCAAGAGGTGTTCTATGGCGGAAGGCCTTCCCACATTCTTTACATTTATAAGGTTTCTCTCCAGTGTGAATTCTCTGATGTTGAGTAAGATGTGTGCCTCGGTGGAAGGCTTTCCCACATTCATTACATTTATATGGTTTCTCTCCAGTATGAATTCTTTGATGTTGAGCAAGACGTGTTCTCTGATGGAAAACCCTTCCACACTCTTTACAATTATAAGATTTCTCTCCACTATGAATTCTCTGATGTTCAGTAAGTCCTGTTCTCCATCGGAAAGCCTGCCCACATTCAATACAGTTATAAGGCTTCTCTCCAGTATGAATTCTCTGATGTTGAGCAAGTGGTGCTCTCTGACGGAAGGCTTTCCCACATTCTTTACATGTATAAGGTTTCTCTCCAGTATGAATCCTCTGATGTTCAGTAAGGTCTGTGCTCCACCGAAAGGCCTTCCCACATTCACTACAATTATAAGGTTTCTCTCCGGTGTGAATTCTCTGGTGTTGAATAAGACTTCTTCTCTGGCGGAAGGTCTTCCCACATTCTTTACACTGAAAAGGTTTCTCTCCAGTATGAACTCTCTCATGTTCATTAAGTTCTGTGATCCACCGGAAGGCCTTTCCACATAGATTGCATTCATAAGGTTTTTCTCCAGTATGAATTTTCTGATGTTGAGTAAGTTCTGTGCTCCTGGGGAAGGCCTTCCCACATTCCTTACATTCATAAGGTTTTTCTCCAGTATGAATTCTCTGGTGTTCAATAAGGCGTATTCTCTGACGGAAGGCATTCCCACATTCTTTACACATGTAAGGTTTCTCTCCAGTATGAATTCTCTGGTGTTGAGTGAGCCCTGTTCTCCGGCAAAAGGTCTTCCCACATTCATTGCACTTATAAGGTTTCACTCCTGTGTGAACTCTCTGATGACGAGTAAGTTCTGAGCTCCATCGGAAGGCTTTTCCACATGACTTACATTCATAAGGTTTCTCTCCTGTATGGATTCTCTGATGTTCAATAAGGCGTATTCTCTGCCGGAAAGCCTTTCCACATTCATTACATTTATAAGGTTTCTCTCCATTATGAATTTTTTGATGTTCAGTAAGTCCTGTCTTCCGGCTGAATGCCTTCCCACATTCATTACATTCATATGGTTTCTCTCCAGTGTGAATTCTCTGATGTCGAGTAAGTCCTGTCTTCTGACTAAAGACCTTTCCACATACATTACATTCATTAGGCTTCTTTGCAGTAGAAATTCTTTGCTGTTGAGTAAGGTTCATGCTATTGGGGACAGCCTTCTTACATTCATCATCTCCAACTGGTTTCACTCCAAGATGTATTCTGTGGTTGTCATTAAGGTCTGAATTATAACTAAAGAATTTCTCACATTCATTAAACTTAGAAAACATCTTCTTTGAGCAGATGCTATTACATTTATTCAGGTGTGAATAGAATCTACAATTCTTTTTGTGAACATCACACTGATGGAGGTTCTTTTCAACAGATCCTCTATGTTGGGGGAAAAGGATTGGTCCTAGATAGGAGCCTCTATTATATTTATTATACACATGTCTTGTCCCTTTTTGGGGAGCTTTCTTTGGGGTGTTTTTAATTTGCCTTGACTGTTTCTCCTCACCTCCCTGCTCCTTTTCTAAGTTGGCATTACATTCCCAGGCTTCTTCAAACTTGGAAAGAAAGAGACTACTCCTTTCAAATTTTTCTTGGAATGATTTTTCCATAGAGATGTCCATCTTTGGAGCTGACTCCATGGTTTCAGGTCCAGTATCCCAATCTAAAAGAAAATTTAAAAAAACAAACAAAAAAAACCACCACATAAATATCTTCTGTTTTTTCTGCCTAACACTTGGGCCTGTGTTCTCTTTCCTCCATTAAACAAAACTGCTGTCAAACATATTCTGCTTTATGTTTGTTTAGTCAATTAGAGTTTATAAAAATAATTATTCTTAAAACAACCTTGTGAAATAGTTAGGCACATATTTTCCACATGAGGGAAAGTGAATCCCATAATCGATTTTTCTTCCTAACTCCCCTGTTCCTGTCAAGGGTACTTCTTCCATCCTTCAAATTACCAAGGTGCCCAACCTGAGTGTCATCGAGACCCCTCACGCTCCCTCTAATCACTTGTGAAGTCTTGTTGATTCTACCTCCATAATATGTCTCTCCACTCATATGGCTACTACTCTAGTTTAGGGTCTCATCACTTCTCAGCAGGACTACCTGGAGATGGCCTCTTAACTGGGCTTAAGTCCACCAGTTCCTCTTGTCTTCTTCGTGTACACCCCATGCTATCAAAGTAATATTTCTTAAGCACAAGTCAGACCATTTCACTCCCCTGCTCAAAAAAATTCCCAGAATTCCCTTTAATTCTCTAGAATCACATCCAAGTTGCTCTGTTTGGCACTTAAAGCCCTTCACATTTCACACGTTATTACAGCGACATAATCCTTTTAAAATATTCACTAAGAAACTGACCAGAAGGGGGCATGGTAAGCCAACAGGATAGCTTGGTCACAAATAATACACACAAAATGTGTATATTGTGTTAAGGCATACATTAAAAAAAGGATAATGAATGAATAAGGATGGGAAGCAGAATGGTTCTTGAGAAAGAGCAAACAATATAAGTTGGAAAAGAGCAAGCTAATGCTTCCTAAAAACACTCTTCATCTCTGAGAACAGAGGTCTGTACTGGGGGGAGGGGAGAGTGTCAGGAAGTCTTTCATTTCAGAGCAGATAAGCCAAACCAGATCATCAGGGACAGCCTCCACTGACCTTCCGAGGTGGAGGGAGTGTGGAAGACCTCCCTGCCCAACATTTTCAAAATTCTTTCCCCCTCAGTGATTAGCTGTGGTAATGACTTGTGGGGGGTCTTATTCACTCACCTGGATAGGGGGTTCTTGGGATATCACCCTCTGGCATCCAAGGGACTTTCCCTTGCTCCAACTGGTAAATCACACGTGGTTTGGAAACTGCTAGCCCTATCAGTGGAAAAAGGAAATGCGTTGGGTTCTGCTCGGGATGTGACCAGCATCTCTTTGGAGACAAATGGTCAGGTTAGGAAGGCCTAGAGAATGACACAAGGACCTCTGCAGGTAGGACACCCTTAACTTCCTAGGAAGTAGGAGGGAAAGGAGGTAGGCTCAGATGAAAGGGACATTTCATATCTTCAGAGTCTGAAGGGAGGAATCTTGGAGCTCCAGCTCACAGAGTGAGAGGCAGGAGCCCAAGCTGCCACCCTCCATTGGTACAGACCAAAGCACTTTCACAAGTTTCCTATCCCGAGTCCACAAAAGAATGAATCACATTTGTACCATTGACTAGAGAACCCCACAGCACGTAATGGGGTGCCAGAGTGCATAAAGCACTGGGCCTGGAGTCAGGGAAACCTGAGTTTAGATCCGGCCTCAGACACTTCCTACCTGTGTGAGCCTGGAGAAGTTACTGCACATCTGCCTGCCTCAGTTCCCTCATCTGTAAAAATGGGGACAGCAGCTCCTGTCTCCCAGGGTTAAATGAGATAATATTTGTAAAGTGCTTCGAGAACCTATACAGACGGTGCTCTATGAATGCCAGGTATTAGTGGAGGAAGCAGGGGGACGCCGTGCTTACCCAGGCAGACCAGGTTCCTGTAGTTCTCCAGCATCACGTCCCTGTACAGCGCTTTCTGAAAAGAGCGCAGGTGCTCCCACTCCTCCGGGGTGAATTCCACAGCCACGTCCTCGAAGGTCACCGACTCCTGAAACAGCAGACACATTTCTGCATCTTCAGGCTCCTGTTTTTATGAACACGGGAGGATGGGCTCGGTGGGTTTTTAGCAGAATCACTCAATCTCCTCTGCAGAAGGGCCCTCAGAGCCACGAGTCCAGCCCAAGCCAAAGACTTCCCAGGAGGCCCTCCTCCGAGGAGGGCGTACACAGCGCTGCCCTCTCTGCTTTCAGAAAGCTCGGCTTTTCAGGGATTTTGCTCGTGCACTGAACCTAGATCTCGCTCCTGGCAACCTCCCCCCGTTGTTCCTAGTTTCGTCTCTAGGGACAAATACCCCGCGCCTAATCCTTCTTCCACACGCTGTTGCTTCTCAGGCAGGTTCGGCTCTTCATGGCCCCATCTGGGGTTTTCTTGGCAAAGTTACTGGAGTGGTTTGCCACTTTCTTCTCCAGCTCAGTTTAAACATAAGGAAATGGAGGCAAACTGGGTGAAGTGACTTGCCCAGGGTCACGCAGCTAGTAAAGGGAGATGAGTCCTCCTGACTCCAAGCCCAGGGCTCTATTTACTGCACCACCCCGCTGCCCCTTCCTTAGGACAGCCATTTAAATACCTGGAGATTGCTATCTCCCCTTCCCCAGGACCCCAGCTCCTCAGAATGATCTTTTAATCTCACGCTGCTCTGGCTCCTTCTTCCGGGCATGTTTCACTTCAATAACTCTATGTGAGGACTACGTACTTCTCAGACGTGGCGTGAGCAGAAGGTGGTGAAATCCTGTCTCTCCTTCCAGACGGGAGGCCTCTCAGAAGGCAGCAGACCTTAACCTCACACACTTTCCTCCTATTCATTTTTAAGTCCCCTGAGACTCCTATTTCCTTAGGATTTGTTGTCTCACGATGGCTTCTCTAACCTATCCTAATGAAGGTAGCTTTTGGAAGCTAAGTGTAGAACTTTATCATCATCCAGATCTGCTGATCTAGAGAAAACAACAAAATTCATCAGGAGAAAAAAGGTCAAACATCCCAAGGGAAATAATGGAAAAAGTAGGAATGAGGGGAGCCTAGCCATCCTCCCACTAGGCCCTCTGCACCACCAGGACTGTCCCCTCACCTGGCAATATACCGTTTGCCTCAGTTTCCTCATCCGTAAAAAGAGCTGGAGAAGGAAATGGCAAATCTTACCCACCCTTAGCTTCACTCTTAAGACCAGGGGATCCTTTCATCCTCTCTATAGGTGTGGTCAAGATGTGAGCTCCTTGAGAACACGGATAATCTTTGCTTTGCTATTTGTATATCCAGTGTTTAGCAAACAGTAAATGCATAATAAATGTTTCCCTCCTTCCCTTCATTTAATCAGCAAAACTATTTTGTACTGGTTAAAAAACAGAACATTTGATCAACAGAATAGAGTGGTAAAGTGTTTAATAAACCCAAGGATGCCAATGACTGACTGGGGTAGGATTCTGTAACTGACAAACACAGTTGGCAAAACTGTAAAGTAATTTGGCAGAAATTAGGTTTAGATCAACACCTCACACCACCTGGGCTCCAAATGAATCCAAGACCTAAATATAGAAAGTCACGTCATACATAAAGTAGAGAAAAAGAGAGGTAATTCTCATGATTACGGGTGGGAGACAATTATTAACTAAACACGGAAGAGAGATGATCACAGAAGTAGAAATGAATAATTTTTGAAGTTTTGAATAAGCAAAATAAATGTAATTAGGATTAGAAGGTAAACAGTTAACTGGGGGAAAATTCTTTGTAAACAAAGAATCTTGGCTCTATCAATAAACATTTATCAAGCACCTACCACGTGCCTGGTATTGTGCTAAGCAGTGGGTCTTTCATCCCTGGCTTCCAGGAGCTCACAGTCTAATGGAGAAGACAACATGCAAACAAACACATACAAAGTGAGCTATATCAGGGGAGGCTAGGTGGAGCAGTGGATAGAGCATCAGCCCTGGATTCAGGAGGACCTGAGTTCAAATATGGCCTCAGACCAAACACTTGACACTTACTAGCTGTGTGACTCTGGGGAAGAAGAAGAAGGAGAAGGAGAAGGAGAAGGAGAAGGAGAAGGAGAAGGAGAAGGAGAAGGAGAAGGAGAAGGAGAAGGAAGGAGAAGGAGAAGGAGAAGGAGAGGAGAAGGAGAAGGAGAAGGAGAAGGAGAAGGAGAAGGAGAAGGAGAAGGAGAAGGAGGAGAAGGAGAAGGAGAAGGAGAAGGAGAAGGAGAAGGAGAAGGAGAAGGAGAAGGAGAAGGAGAAGGAGAAGGAGAAGGAGAAGGAGAAGAAGATCTTCCTGTAGAAGGTGGGATTTTAGCTTGAACTGAAAGGAAGCCAGGGAGGTCAGCAGTCAGAGTGGAGGAGGAAGAGTGTCCAGGCATGGGGACAGCCAGAGATAATGCCCAGAGCTGAGAGATGGAGAACCTTGTCCACAGAACAGCCAGGAGGCCAGTGTCACTCTGGAAAGATAGGAGGCTGTGAAGTATGAAGGGCTCTGAATGCCAAGCAGAGCATTCTGTATTTGCTCCTGGAGGCGACAGGCAGCCGCCAGCATTTACGGTCAGACCTGACTGAGTTTTAGAGAAATCCCTTTGGTGTCTGAGGAGAGACTGGAGGCAGGTAGACCACCAGCAGCTATTGTGACAGTCCAGGTATGAGGAGATGAGGGGCTGCACCAGGAGAGGGGCAGGGTTGGAGGAGAAGAGGGGTACAGATGAGAAATGCTGCAGAGATGAAATTGATGGGCCTTGGCAAGAGCTTGGATATGAGAGGGGGCGTGAAAGGTAGTGCTAGAGCTGAGAATGACCTCAGGTTGGAAACCTAAGGGGATGGGAGGATGGCATTGCCCTCAGCAGTAACAGGGAAGACAGGAAGGGAAAAGGGTCTAGGGGAACTACAACGAATTCCACCTTGAACATACGGAGTTTGAGATGTCTCCTGGACATCCGGCAGCTGAAGGGATGAAATTGGAGGTGAGTAGAGACGCGGGGACAGGAAAGGTAGATCTGAGAACCATCAGCAGAGAGATGGCAATGAAATCCATGGGAGCTGATGAGACCACCCAGTGAAGTTCGACATGGGGAGAGAAGAGGACCTAGGGCAGAACCAGGAGGGACGCCTATAGTTAGACCTGGAGGAGGACCCAGCAAAAGAAGCAGAGGAGTGGTCAGAGAAGGAGGAGGAAGGCCAGGAGAGAAAGAGGGTGTCCTGGAAACCTGGAGAGAAGAGGGTATGAAAGAGGAGAGAGTGATCACCAGGGCCAAAGGCAGCACAGGTTGGGGAGAATGAGGATGGAGAAAAGGTCAATGCACTGGGCAACTAAGTGATCACTGGTCGCTCTGAAGAGAGCAGTCTGGGGCAGATAACAGGGCCAGAAGCCGGACTGTAAGGGGTGGAGAGGACAGTGAGAGGAGAGGAAGTGGAGGCCCCAGTGTAGACGCCTCTTCCAGGAAATCAGCACAAAGGGCAGAGGTGGAGTTGGGAAAGAGATGACAAGCTGGGCACCAACAGTGGCTTCCCCTACTGGGCCGTTTGCTAGAGTGCTTCCCTCTCTTACTCTCCTAAAAGCAGGCTCCACAGGGGGGAACTTGCCCTATGGAGAGGCAGAAGTCACAAAAAGACAAGGTGGGGGAAGGACATGAAGAAAGGACTCCCCAAACAGGAATTCTGTGTCTTCAAGCAAAGGCCTAATCGTTACTCATCCAGAGCCCTGCAGCTGGGGTTCTTTTTCAGCTGCAGCTGCTCAGGTCCCATCCACTTCCCCACCATTTCTAAACCATGCCACCTGGCCTCTTGCTATCTCCCCTGTCTCCTTCCGACTGGAATCCGGGGCTCTGCACCACAGGACTTTATCTTGCCCACAACCAGGCCTCCATCATCCCTGAGCTATCTGCAAACATCCTACCTCCCTCCTTCTCCCCTTTTGCCCTCCCCCCTCACAAGCTGTCTTTCCCTATTTGAATACAAGCTCCCGGAGGGCAGGGACTATCTGGTTTGCATTTGTCTTCAGTGCTTAGCACAGGGCCTGGCACACAGTATGTTTAATGAATGTCATTCTTTGATCTGTGAATGACAGGAATGGAGAAAAAATGAGGACAGAATTCTATTGTGAAGAGTGAAGAAAGCAGAATTAACACGCGTGATAACAATACACTCTAAAAATATAAAGGAAAACAACACTGAGCAAAGACTTCTGCATTCAGACTCCAGAGGGTGGAGTGGACGCCACACACCAACAGGCTCGCCTGAGGCTCTGACTGCTGGGGCTTAACTGGATCTCCCGTTAGAACAAAGCGAGGGAGGGGGAAGGGGATGCTAGGAATTGACCGAATGTTCAAAAACCCCAACACATGTTTTAAAATGATTTTTTAAAAAGGAAATACAATAAAATATGAGGGGTTGGACTGAATCTATGATTCTTTGAAAGACTAAGTTGATCGGGTTACAGGAGATGGAAAAGACCCAAGGCATTATTTCAGGAAACAGGAAAGTCTCACTTACTTGGTGGTCCCTGGAGGGCAGGAGCACCGGAGCCATTGTGTTCACCTGGGCAGACTTGTCAGAGGCTGGAGCTAAGGAGAAAAAGGTGACCATCAGTGGGACTGGCCCTTCCTTGCGATGTCCACAGCCCGGACTCAGGAGTGCCCCCATGCCGCCAGCCTGCTGAGGTTCAGATCGGATGGAGCTGTGAGCTCGTCCCAGAATCCAATTCAATCACCACTGAGTTAATAAGCACCTGCTATGTGCTATGTGCGAGGCACTCTTCTGGGCACTGGGGAACTAAGGACAGAAATGAACCAGTTCCTGGTTTCGAGAAGCTCACGTTGGCCAAGGGAGAGGGAGAGAGGGCTGACCACTGGGGGTGGGAGTCAGGAACGGCCGCACAGGGGGAGGGGGCGCCTCGGGGGCGCTTGAGAGGCGAAGGTCAAAGTGCATTCCAGGCCCTGGGGTGGGGGCACCTGCGGGAATGTCTGGAGACAGAAGGCGAGGAAATCCATGGGAAGCTCTCTCTGTGTATGTCATATTTATGGAAGGAAAACCCCCACTACGACGACACCTGCCTGTGGCTTAGATTGGTAACGAGTGAGGATGGGAATCACGTCTGCACTGGGGCGGCCACGGCACCGGGCTGAGTCACTGGGGCTCAGAATACAGGTGAGCAGGAGGGGCACTCTCATTCGGCCCTCTGGGAGGGGATTTCTGCAGCTGTTTGGAAGAGGAGCAGAGGACCAGGTGGGAGCTTTGTAGAACAGCACAGGAAGAAAGGCTCAACACAGAGCAACATGGAGGGATGGAAAGGAGAGATGCCATAGAGGCCCTTCCCCTACACCACGTACAAGGGGTCTTTAGTGACCCCTTCCCCATTCCCTCCTCCAAATAGCTCATATTTACTTTTAAAATAAAAATTTAAGGTATTTAATTTTGAGATGAGGTCTTCCTAGCTTGCCCAGTCTGAAAGTACGGTGGCCACTCCCCGGTCCCATCCCCAAACTGACTAACACAGAAGCTTTAACATGCTCCATTTTTCTGGCTGGGCAGGCTCACCCCTCCTGGGGCAGTTCGGCGGCCCTCCACACCTAGGGGCTCACCATACTGATTCATGTGGACACCCCCATCTGCTATAGCACTCCTGCAGCCCAAAACTCCCAAACTCAAGGGGCCCACCAGCTTCAACCTCCCCAAGTACAGGGACCACCATGTCCAGTGTATTTACTTACAAACTCTTGAGTTTGGGCAGCTAGGAGATAGGTAGTGCAGTGGCCAGAGTCAGGAAGTCAAAAAGACTTGAGTTCAGCCTAGACACTTACTAGCTGTGTGACCCTGGGCAAGTCACTTTACCCTGTTGGCCTCAGTTTCCTCATCTGTAAATTGAGCTATTGAAAGAAATGGCAAACACTCCAGTATCTTTGCCAAGAAAACCTCAAATTGGCACACAAAGAGTCAGACGCAACTGAACAACAAACAATTTTGAGTTTACTGCTACGTCTACATGTGGCTTCCGTTGATAGAACGTAAACTTGATGACAGGGACTGTTTTTGTCTTTTGCTTTAAGCATATTGGCCATGCTTAGTAGGTGTTTCACATATGACTGATATTATTTCTGGCACAGTGGAAAGAAGACTGATTCTAAATCTATGCGCCTATGGTTATTGATTGGCCACAGAGGGAAAGGAACAGGAAAGAGCCAGACATGATTTTAAGATTGGGAACCTATGTGAATGGGAAGATGGTGGTGCGCTCAGCAGAAATAGACATGTTTGTCAAAAAAGAGTTTATAGGAGAGAAGAGAATGACTTTAGGTTAGGAAAGGGAAGGGGGAATGCCTAAGAGAAAAGAGGGTGAAGAGAAAAAAGAGTAAGAGAGATGGAAACACAGAATCTAAGAGATGGAAAGGGCTCCAGGGGGTCTCTGGAGAGTACAGAAAAAGGAGGAAAGGGAGGGCAGAGAGGAGGATGAGGACAGGCCGGTAAGAACATGATGGGGCAAAGGGGAGGAGACAGCTGACCAAGGGGCTCAGGTGAAGGGGATGATAAAAGGGAAAGACTAGCTTAGAGCAAAGACATTACGGAGAGGAGGAAGACTAGAGGAGGAGAAGCAGGTGGAGAGAGAGGTGGATAAGACTGGAGAGGACAAGGGAGGAGATGAGGCTGGAAAAGGAATAGGACAAAGAAGGATGGTGGGAAGACAGGAGTGGACACACACAAAAGAAGGGGGCAAAAAGCATAAGTGGAAGAGGAAATGAATTAGGCAGAGTCAGAGAGAGGGGGACAAGAAAGAAAGGGGAGGAGAGGAGAAAAGGAAGACAAGGGGAGGACAAAGTAGGAGAAGAAAGGATACTGGAAGATGGGATCTCAAAAGACCAGAGCACTGAGCTGCATCTACTAAGGGAATGCAACTAGAATAAACATAAATTTTTTCACTCAGATTCATAAATTGAAGTACAATGAATGAATCAAAAGTACAAGAAGGTGGGGTGGGGACACCTAGTAAACCCTAGTTTTTAACATCTTCCACACAGGTTTTTATTTAACTGCACAATCGGTGTGAGTCAACAGCATTAGTGGAAAAAGCTGCCAGACTAACCTGGCTCCCCCTTTCCACTTTCCCTACATCTAACTCGCTTGTGCCCTCTCCAACCCGGTGACACTGGCCTCCTGACTCCAGGTATCTGCACTGGCCACCCTCCAGGCCTGGCACGCTTTCCCTTCTGGCTTCCCTCAAGGACCACCTAAGGAAGCCTTCCAGGTTCCCCTCACAGCCAGTCCCTTCCTTTGGGGATTACCTCCAATTTACCCTGTCCATATCTTGTTTGTACATAAGGGTTTGCCTGCTGTCTTTCCCACTGGATTGTAAGCTCCTGGGGGGCAGGAATTGACTCTCTTTCTCCGGCACTCAAAACATTGCTTTGCACGCAGCAGGCACTTAATAAATGTTTCATTCACTCTGTATCTTGCTTGTACACAGGTATTTGCCTGCTGTCTCTCCCATTACACTGTGAGCTCCTTGACGGTAGGAACTGACTCTAGCCTTTTTTTGTATCCCTAGCGCTTAGCCCAGTGCCCAGTACACAGTAGGCGCTTAGTAAGGATTTTGTGACTGACTGGAGAAGAAAAATGGGGGAAGAGGGAGGCGGCATCACCGCAGGAGTCTTCGGGTTCCTGAAGAACTGCCTCGCCGCCCCAGGGTCGCTTGGCCCAAAAAGCAGACTCGGGATGCCCAGGCATCAGTTACAAAGGAGCCCCGGTAGCTGTGACGTCAGTGAAACTGTCACAGGCGGAGAACTGAGAGTGTGGAAGTGCAGCGGCCACTTCTGATTGGATAAGGCGTTTAGCCCGCCCCCCACGCTGTCCAATGGGAGCGGCCATCAGCCGGACGGCCGCAGGCACGCCGCCCGCCTTCCCCCCCACCCCCCACGCCATCCCACATAACGGGAGGAAGATCGGGAAATATGGCGCCCGAGGCCGTGCCGGGACCTACCTCGCTCTCCAGCGGGGTCAGCCCTTGGTCCGTCCCGGAGCCCACACCACATAAAGGTTGGAGAAGAGTTCAGGTAGTAGAAAGCGATGCGAGATCCGGAAGTGGCTGACTTCCGGTGCCAACAAGGAGGCTAGCGAAGGAAGTTACGTGATCATAGGGGGCGTGGCCAATAAAGATCACTTCCTTCTGGGCGGCAAAGCCTTCTGGGAAGCCTAGTTCCACGACTCCAGATTTGTGAACATGCGCCCTGCGCTCATAGAACGTGGGTTCAGGTTGCTGGAGGCGTTGAACTCTTCTGGACCTTTGGTTCCCAGATTGCTAAAGTCCAGAGGGATGGAGAGACCAAGGCCGCCCGGGGTTCCGTCCTTCACTTGGGCTTCGAGGGCTTTCCCCCTGACTCCATCCCGTGTCTGCCTGCCTCTGTCGAACGCCGCCAGCCACGAGTGCCTTTGTGTATACGCGGACTTATGAAGGAATGAGCATTTATTAAGTGCCAGCTGTGTGCCAAGCGCTGGGAATGCAGATAGCAAAATCGAGATCAGCTCTGCTTTCAAGGACCTCGCACAATAAGCGGGGGAGACCACACAAAAGAAAGTCCAGCTGGGAGCCAGACAGAAAGGGCTGGAAACCAAGGGGTCAGTGCCCCTGGGATCCTTAGGTTACGTCAGCAGGCCAGGTCCCAGGACCACCAGTCCTTGGAACATAGGGACAGAGCAGATGCCAGGTGTCCAGGACCTTCGAGGCAGTGGCGAGGCAGATGGGAAGACCAGTAACCCTTTTGGGAGAAACCCAAAATTTAAGGGGTTTTCCCAGAGATTCTAATTGGCCATAAAGAGCTGGTGTGAGAGAGCCTGAGACCTCTCTCTAGAGCAGGGGTTCTTGAGTTAGGGACCTCCTAGGCAGTCTGGTGAAGCCTCGGAATGCTTTTAAATGCATGATGTAATAGTAGCTCCTCATAGTAGGCTCAGGCTTAAAGATCCTGTGTGGCAAAGGGGTGATCCGTAGCTTCTTGGGGCCCTTTGTGGAATCCTCATGACGTTCCCTTAGGTATGAGTCTACTGGCCTCCTTCAAGAATTGAGAAGCAGAGGGCAGGTAGGTGGTGCAGTGGTTACAGCACCGGCCCTGAAGTCAGGAGGACCTGAGTTCAAATCTGGCCTCAGCCCAAACACTTGACACTTACTGGCAGTGTGGCCCTGTGCAAGTCACTTACTTAACCCCAACTGCCTAAAAAAAGAATTGAGAAGCAATCTTGATGTACCATTTTAAAGACCTGTTCTTGACAAAGCCATACTGATTGGGAATCCCCACTTCTACTCCTAGGTGTTCATATTAATCACCTACATTCTAGAATTTGGATGGGAAGTCAAGCTCACTGACCAACGGATTTTCAGAATCCATTATATTCCTTGCTTTGAAACCTGGGACACTTGCCCGTTCCTAATCCTGTGGTGGTATATACAGTTCCCTTTCTCAGTGACCTTGCAAAGATCAAGGACTGTGTCTCCCAATTACATTTGAAGGTTCTTTTGGTCCTGGAGGTTGTATTCTTAAGTAGCTAACATTTATCTAATGCTGTAAGGTATACAAAGCACTGTATGTATATTATGTTATTTTATCTTCACAGTAACCCTGGGAAATAGGTGCTATTATTATTCCCATTTTACAGCTGAAGAAACTGAGGCAGACAGAGGTTAAATGGGTTACCCAGGGTCACACAGCCTGTATATGTATGAGGTGGGATTTGAACTCAGATCTTCCTGACTCTATGTCCGGGGCTAATTATTCTGAAAAGTGGTCCATAGGCTTTATCAGACTGCCAAAGGGTTACAGGACATAAAAGGGTTAACAATCCCTGCTAGAGTTCATCAGATCCAGATGCTTGAACTCTTCTATGACATCTAGGTGCTCTGCTGCTTTCTTTTGCAACTGTCACTGTCCTCAAAGGAGCTTACAAAGTAATGAGGACATAACCTGATGAAGAGATGTGTTTATCCTTAGGTGGCCCAGGCCCACAGCTCAGGTTAAACAGTATTGCACAGGCCTAGAAGACAGAGCACTGGATGAAGCAGAAAGGCCTTAGCTCAAGCACTTAGTACTGCTGTGGGGTCCTCCAGCTCTCTCTGATCTAGAACCCACCTCAGAAGGTTGTTGTGAGATCAGAGGAGCCATTATTTGTGAAGCGCTTTGCAAAAGCTAGAGCTAAGCTAATTGTTACTGTGATTATCTCCACGTTTCATTTGTGTTAGCACCATTAATAAGCCAGCCACGTTGCAGGATTGCTGAGGGCCAGCATTCTCAGAGACTTCTGGTATAGCCTAGTCTCAGTTGAAACTCATCAAAGACACCATTTTGCCCTAGGGAGGTATTTAATGGGGACCAGGAGGCAAACTTTCTAGCTCAGAAAAAACCTACTTATCAAAATGACCTCTACGTGATGAGATTAAAATCATTAACAGCAATCTGAAATACATGATGCAGATTATTTGGAAGAGGTTCCAAAGTGATGGCTAACTACCCCAGACACACTGGGTTTGCCATACAAGTCCTCCCTAGCCCGTCAGGAAGCAAGGAGAAGAGGAGAGAGAGAGAGAACTCTGCTCCTCTGGCCATTCAGGGGAATGAGCCACGCCTTTGTTCTGCCGCTCAAACAGAAAGTGGAAGGAGCTAAAGTGATTCCACAAGATGCGTCTCTCATCAGGCTGGGTTATGTGCTACAGCCCAGGCCTGCTCCTCATCTCTGACCCTGAGGGCAGGAGGCAATCCCCATCTTCTGTATTCCAGGTTCTGCCACATCAGAAGGTCAATGAAGGTCTCTTTGCTCACTACGTTCTCTAAGACCTTGCTACTGTGAGGAAGGGAAGAGAAAGGGGAAGGGCCAGTAACTGGAGGTGTCGGCAGGAAAACCTGAAAGTTGCAGTGAGACTGAACTAGGGGGAACAAAGCAGAAGAGTAAAATTCCAGAAACTGCCTTCTTCTCAAACCAGGTCCTATTGTCACCGTCCTCTGCTCTCTCACTAGGGCTTAAATCTCTGCCTCAGGCTCATCCCCTAGCACAGCACAATGACCTCTTGGGAGCTTTCTCAGTTAAGGAGTCAGTTTTGAACAAGAAGAGTCTGTCCTAATAAAATGAATCGAATGCCATGTTCTTTGGTCCGATCCATATGACCACTCAAGGGCGTCACTGAATCAAGATGGTCTTGCTCTGTGGAATAATGGAAAGCCGCCTCATATTCCTCTGACACATTGCAGGACAGCCCTGCAAAGAGTGAGGGAGAGGCAGGATATTCTACTCTCCCTTCTTATTCAGCTAGAGGGTAATGAGGCTATGAAGCATTCACTATATTACCACGGTTGGGGGGGGGGAACCAAAAACATAAAAAGAGACTAGCCCACGTTTGTAATCAGATGATAAAGAGCCAATAGAGAGTGACAGATGAAACATCCATGGGACAAGAGATGTGTGCTAGAGGAAGGGCCTGGAGTACGCAAGAGGGAACGGGATCACACAGAGATTTCAGTCTTATGCTTCTGCCTTTCTGACCAGAAAGAAGAAAGAGCAAATTGGGGACAATTCTCAGGAGTCAAGGGATGGAGGGAAGGGCATTTGTGAGATCAACAATGTTCTCACTGAATCATGGAAGTCAGCTTCTGTAACCATGGGAGGGGAGAAAACTGGGGGCTGAAGGAGAGTGAGAAAGTTTACAATAGACAGAAGTCCGAGATGGCTTCATCTATAAGATTTTCTTTTAACTTAAATTCTACATTTTTGAGTAAAATAAGTATGGACTTTGGCTCAAACACTTTTGACATACATGACCGTAATGAGACTTTACCCTCACAAGGTTTCACTCTGGTGTAAATCCTCTGATATCACCTGAGCTTCTTTGCTCTTGAAAACCATACCAAAACCAAAAGGCTTCTCTGCCACATGAATTTTATGATGTTGAAAAGGTGACGCAGCCCGCAGCAGACCTTCCCGTACACACCTCATTCCTGACATTTCTCTCAAGTGTGAATTCTCTCATGTTGAATAAGTCCCGTCTTCCACATCTGTGACACTCACAAGGTTTCTGTCCAGTGTGAACACGGATGCTGAGCAAGATGTGTGCTCTGCCGGAAGGCCTTCCACATTTGTTACATTTGTAGGGCTTCTCTCCCATATGAATTGTCCCATGTTGAGTAAGTCCTGCCTTGCAAGAGAAAGCCTTCCCACATCCATTACCTTTATGAGGTTTCTCTCCAGAATGAACTATTCAGTGGCAAACAAGACCTGTCTTCCAGAAGAAGGCCTCCCCACATTCGTTACATTCATAGGGTTTCTTTCCAGGGTGAATTCGCTGATGCTGAGTAAGGGATTTCCTCTTGAAGAAAGTCATCCCACACGCGTTACATTTATAATGTTTCTCTCCAGTATGAATCCTTTGATGTTGAGCGAGTGACTTTCTCTCAAAGAAAGCCAACCCACATATGTTACATTCATAAGATTTCTCCCCAGTATGAACTTCCTGATGTCAAAGAAGTCCTGTGCTCCAGCGAAAGGCCATTCCACAAGCATTACATGCATAAGGTTTCTCCCCGGTGTGAATTTTTTGATGTTCATTAAGTCCTGTCCTCCTATGGAAGGCCTTTCTACACTTGTTACATTCATAAGGCTTCTCACCAGTGTGAATTCTCTGGTGTCGAGTAAGGGGTGTGCTCCGACGAAAGGCCTTCCCGCAGACATTACATTCAAAAGGTTAAGCTCCTGTATGGATTTTTTGATGATTAGTTGGGCCTGTCCTCTGATGGAAGGCCTTCCCACAGTGATTACATTCATAAGGTTTCTCTTCACAGTTTGGTGTATCTAAAGTGTCACGGGCTTCCCAGGTTTCTCCCAGCTTGGTGACAAAGGCAGCATGTCTTGTGAATCTTTCCTGGGATGCTTCTTCCGCAGAAATGCCCACCTTGGCAGCTGACTGCTTGGGTTGGAGGCTAAGCTCCCAATCTGAAAGGAAAAAAAATACATAAGTCTCCGGGACTGCATTTCACTGACACCTATCTCCTGTTTCCTCCATCAAGAAAAATATCAAGCTTTAGAATATAGCGAGACTAATACTCCCACCTTCCCTATGTTTGTTGTTGTCATTCAGTTGTGTCCTATTCTATGTGACCCCCTTGGACTATGTCCGTGGACCTTTTTTGGCAAAGATACTGGAGTGGTTTGCCATTTCCTCTTCCAGGGTACCCCCACTTTGCCAATGAGGAACTGAAGCAAATAGGGGTCAAATGACTTGCCCAGGATCACAAAGTCACAGAGCTAGTTAGCGTCTGAGGCCAGATTTGAACTCAGATCTTCCTGACTCCAGGCCCACTGCTCTACCAATTGCACCACCTACCTGCCCCTATATATGTATAGTTATATACACATATGTACAGTTAGAGCTTATAAAAGCTCTCACTTTGATCCTCAAAACAAGGTTGTGAGATGTACAGGTCAGGGGCAGCTAGGTGGTGCAGTGGATAGAGCACCGGCCCTGAAGTCAGGAGGACTTGAGTTCAAATCTAGCCTCACACAAAACACTTGAATACTGGCTGTGTGACCCTGGGCAAGTCACTTAACCCCAATTGACTTAAAAAGAAAAGAGATACAAGTCAGTTAGGACTTTTTTTATAACTTATTTTTACAGACAATTCTTAAACTTTTTTTAGTCTCAGGATCCCTTTATATTCATAAGTTATTGAGAACTCTGAGGAGCTTTTGTTCACGTGGCTTATGCCTATCAATATTTACCATATTTGAAATTAAAACTGAGCAAAAAAATTTAAATATTTATTCACTTAAAATAATAAACCCATTACAACATAAATAATGTTTTTTATGAAAAATAACTATGTGGGGGCAGCTAGGTGGCACACTAGATAGAGCACTGGTCCTGGAGTCAGGAGGACCTGAGTTCAAATCTGGCCTCAGATACTTGACACTTATTAGCTGTGTGACCCTGGGCAAGTCATTTCACCCCAATTGCCAAGCCAAAAAATAATAATAATAACTATGTGTTCCAAAACAAACAAAAAAATTGTGAGAAGAATGGCATTATTTTACATATTTTTGCCAGTCTCTTTAATGTCTGGCTCAATAGAAGACATCTGGATTCTCCTCTCCCCTTCTGCATTCAATGTGTCGTGATATTGATGTTTTGGCTGAAGTTCCACCTGATGAAAATCTGGCCTCACACAGATATGTAGCTGGAAAGGGGAGGAGAAATTTTTTTTTTTAGGCAGTTGGGGTTAAGTGACATGCGCAGGGTCACACAGCTAGTGAGTGTCAAGTGGAGGAAAATTTTAATACGCTAATGATGTCTTAGTATTGTTAATGAGAATAGTTTTGACCTTGTGATCCCCCTTTCAGGAGGCCCACATACCACACTTTGAGAAGCGCTTATTTTAAGGGATGGTTAGTGAGCAGCTAGAGAAAAAAAGGAGTGATTTCATGGCTTTACCAAAAATACGACATGTTGGACTAGACTCTCATTTTCTTTGGCATTTTTTTAATATAAATTTATTTATTTTTAGTTTTCAATATTTACTTCCACAAGACTTTGAGTTCCAAATTTTCACCCCATCTCGCCCCTCCCCACACCCAAGATGGCATGCATCTGAATACCCCTTCCCCTAGTCTGCCCTCTCTTCTATCTCTCCCCCCTTCTCTTATCCCCTTCCCCTTCTATTTTCCTGTAGGCAGGATAGACTTCTGTACCCCATTTCCTGTATTTCTTATTTCCCAGTTGCATGTGAAAACATTTTTTTAAACATGTTTTAAAACTTTGGTTCCAAATTTTCTCCTTCCTCCTCCCCACCCACCCTCATTGAAAAGGCAAGCAACTCAATATCGGTTATACATGTGCAGTTATGCAAAACACTTCCATAGTAGACATGTTGTGAAATACTACCTCTATTTCCCTTAATACTATCCTGCCCCCCATTTATTCTATTCTTTCTTTTGACCCTGTCCCTCCTCAGAAGTATTTGCTTCTGATTACCCCTTTCCCAATCTGCCCTCCTCTTATCATCCCCTGCTCTCTTGTCCCCTTCCCCCTATTTTCCTGTAGGGTAAGACAGATTTCCATACCCAATTGAATGTGTATGTTATTCCCTCCTTAAGCCAAATCCTATGAGAATAAGATTCACTCATTCCCTCTCACCTTCCTCCGTTTCCCCTCCACTGTAAGAGACTTTTCTGTTTTTTTTGTGAGATAATTTACCCCGTTCTACCTCTCCCTTTCTTCTTCTAGTATAATCCTCTCTCATCCCTTAATTTTATTCTCCAGATATGACCCCTTAATCTTCAACTCACCCTGTGCCCTCTATCTATCTCTATCATACATATATATTTTTTCCTCCAACTACCCTAATACTGACAAAGGTCTCATGAGTTATAAATATCATCTTTCTATGCAGGAATGTAAACAGTTCAACCTTAATAAATCTCTTACGATTTCTCTTTCCTGTTTACTTCATCGTGTTCCAATTGTATTTGAAAGTCAGATTTTCTATTCAGCTCCAGTCTTTTCATCAAGAATGCTTGAAAGTCCTCTATTTCACTGAATGACCATTTTTTCCCCTGAAGGATTATACTCAGTTTTGCTGGGTAGGTGATTCTTTGCTGTAATCCTATCTCCTTTGCCCTCTGCAATTTTATATTCCATGCCCTGTGGTCCTTTAATGTAGAAGCTGCTAAATCTTGTGTTATCCTGATTGTGTTTCCACAGTACTTGAATTGTTTCTTCTGGCAGCTTGTAATATTTTCTCCTTGACCTGGGAACTCTGGAATTTGGCTACAATATTCCTAGGAGTTTTCCTTTGGGGATCTCTTTCAGGAGGAGATCTGTGGATTCTTTCAATTTCTATTTTGCCCTCTGGTTCTAAAATATCAGGGCAGTTTTCCTTGATAATTTCTTGAAAGATGATGTCTAGGCTCTTTTTTTGATCATGGCTTTCAGATAGTCCAATAATTTTTAAATTATCTCTCCTGGATCTATTTTCCAGGTCAGTTGTTTTTCCAATGAGATATTTCACATTGTTTTCTAATTTTTCATTCTTTTGGATTTGTTTTACAGTGTCTTGATTTCTCATAAAGTCACTAGCTTCCAATTGCTCTATTCTAATTTTTAAGGAAGTATTTTCTTCAGTAATCTTTTGGACTTCCTTTTCCATTTGGCCAATTTTGCTTTTTAGGGCATTCTTCTCCTCATTGGCTTTTTGGACCTCTTTTGCCATTTGGGTTAGGCTATTTTTTAAGGTGTTATTTTCTTCAGTATTTTTTGGGGTCTCCTTTAGCAAGCTGTTGACTTGTTTTTCATGATTTTCACTCTCATTTCTCTTCCCAGTTTTTCCTCTACTTCCCTTACTTGCTTCTCAAAATCCCTTTTGAGCTCTTCCAAGGCCTGGGACTGATTCAAATTTTTCTTGGAGGCTTTGGATGTAGGAACTTTGACTTTGTTGTCTTCTTCTGGTTGTATGTTTTGATCTTCTTTGTCACCAAAGTAATATAATATAGTTTGACTCTTTTTGTGAGGTTTGCTCATGATCCCAGCCAATTATTTGAGTTTTAAACTCTTTGTTAAGGTAAGAGTCTGCTTCCAATGTGGAGAATGTACTGTCCCAAGCTTTGGGGGTTTGTACAGCTGTTTTCAGAGATACTTGTAGGGACCTGTAAATTTTCAGTTCTTCCAAGGTGGTATGATAAGGAGCGAGGTGTTCACTCCTTTCCTCGCCTGTGCTCTGGTCTGTGAGTGATCAGAAGCAGTCTTTTCTGTCTTGGAACTGTAAGGAGAATTTCCTCTCCCCAGTCACTATAAGCTCCACCAGGCCAGCACTCCTCTTCTCCCCAGGACCACCACCCAGAACTGACCTAGATCCAAGAACGGGCAAAGCAAGAGATTTCTGCCTCAGCACTGGTAAAGAGATCCCTGCAGTTCCCCTCTGATCAGCCACCCAATTCCCCCTCAGTCTGTGTGCTGGAAGCTCAGGATGCAGCCATCACCCCGGGGCCATGCTCGCTGGGGAACTGAGGCTGAGACCTAGCTCCTCTCTGAGCACCGCAGAAACAGACTTCTCCCACTGATCTTCTAAGTTGTCTTTGGCGTTCGTGTGTTAAGAAGTCTAGAAACCGCCACAGCTTCCTGTGATTCAGTCCTCTGAGGCCTGCTCCAGGTTCACTGCGGCCTGCATGTCCAGGTCACACCATGCTCCTCTACCTGCCTGGTGTGATATACCTTTCTGATCAACCATCTAGGTAGTCTTGGGCTGGAAATTTGCTTCACTCTGTCTTTTTGTGGGTCTGCTGCTTTAGAATTTGTTTAGAGCCATTTTTTTACAGGTGTTTGGAGGGGTTTGGGGGAGAGCTCAAGCAAGTCATTGCTTTTACTCTGTCATCTTGGCTCCACTTTCTTGTTTTCTTTGTGACAAAGGTACTCTAACAGTACCTTTAGGTATGGGGTGGTTCAGTGGTGCTGTGGATAGCATGCCAGGCCTGCAGTCAGGATGGGTCACACAGCTAGTAAATGTCTGACACTAGATATGAACTATTCCTGAATCTAGGCCAGGCGTGCCATCCATGATGGCGCCACCACGGATATGAACAGATAATTCTCAAAAGATGCTAAGAATCATTTGATAACCTGCTTAAAAACACTATTAGTTAAAAGGTTGCTAAATAAAAAGCTTGGGGGTACTGCCTCACTCCACCAAATAGGAAGGAATAACTACAGGAGAAACAGGCATATTCATTCACTGATGGGGGAATTACAATTTTGTAAAATCCTTTTGAAGAGCAATCTGGAAGTGTGTAGTTTGAAGTTATAAGATCCTATAGGATCAGATTGACAGGATTCACAGGGAGAGGGACATCAGTGGCCACCTTGTTTAACTAAACATGAAGGAATCTTCCCTTTTCTGTCCGTGGTGAGTAATGATCCAGCCACTGCATGAAGATCTCCACGGTGGGAGAAGCCGCCACTCACAGGGTAGCCCACACCACTCGCTGTCCACTGCTCTTGGCCCAGTCCTCTGAGGCCAAACAGAACCAACCTCCAGAGGACAGCCCTTCACAGCCTTGAAGACAGCGATCCTCCACATTCCCCATCCCCGCCTCAAGCTCTAGTCTCCTTTCCAGGCTAAATATCCCCAATTCCTTCAAGCAGTTGTCACACATCACAGACCCAAGACCCTTTGCACTCCCAGCTGCCTTCCTCCAGAACTGCCCCTGGATAGCCTTTGACTCAGTAATTCTATGATGGGCATACGTGCTGAGAGAATGATCAGTCAATGCACCTGCATCTGTTAAAGGTCTACTAGGTGCCCGGCACTGTGCTGGGTGCTGAAGGATAAAAGGGAAATCTTTACTCTTACATCCCAAAACAAAGCACATGAAAAAGCTATCTATACAATGATTTTCATGACAACTTTATTCATAAGTGGAAAGAACTAGAAGTGATCTAAATGTGTAATGAGAAGGGAGATTGTGGCATTAATGTCATGGAACGCTAAAGTGAAATTAAAATGGATCAGCCATGGGTACTACAGAGAAATCTGCAACGGATAAGAATGCCAAGTGAAAGAAGGGGAACCAGGAGAATCAGGCACACACAATGACCATGTCACTCAAAAACTGAGTGAGAATTAAAGTACAAAAAGTCCTGAGGAGGGCTTGGCGGGCCTGACCGAAGAGGGGCCCTGACATCGCCTGGTTGTCTCTGATGTAGCTTCGGCAGAAGGCCGTTTCCTGCCCCACCCCAATGACCCATCAAGGCTGGCACCTTCCCTCTGAGATGACATCTTTATGGCGTGCACTGTAGATATGCCTTTACTGGCATATTATCTCCCCAGTTAAAATGTGAGCTACTTGAGGGCAGGGCTGGTTTTTTGCCTTCCTGGCTGTTCCCCCAATAAGACTCACCATCTCCAGACACCTGGAATTTGCACTGGCTGTCCCCCATGCCAGGAATGCCTTCCCTCCTCATCTCTGCCTCTCTTCAAGTCTCAGCTCAAATGCTACCTTCTAGACGAGGCCTTTCTCAACTAGGGCCTTCCCTCTGTTGATTATTTTCTATTCATTCTTGTATCTAGTTTGTGTGTATGTCGATGTTTGCATGTTGTCTTTCTCATTAGACTGTGAGCTCCTCCTGTCTTTGCTTCTCTTTGTATCTGCAGTGCTTGGCATGGTGCCTGGCACACAGTCAATTCCTAATAAAAGCCTGGTGACTAATAAATAATTGTAATGTAGGTTTAATAAGTTGAATTGATGGCTAATATTAACTTGGAAAAAAGTGACTTAAAAACCACAAAAGAATAAGGTCAAGGAGGTTAAGCAGGAGAAAGACTGCTAAATATAAACTAAGTGGATGGGATCAGTTTATATATAAAGTATCAGGAATGTCGAAGGAAGGTAGAAGAGAGCCCCATCCACTCTGGAGGGCCCAGAGGGCCTGCAGCCCTAGGGGAAAGCCCTTCATTGGTATGAAGATCAGGCCTATGAAGGGGCTCATCCCAGACAGCTCCAGCTCTTCACCACAGGCCTAAGCAGCTTGGAGGGGACAACAAGCCAGGACATTATTGGTTAAGACCTATTAATTTGGCTCTATTCACTCACCTGGATAGGTGCTTCTTGGGCCATCTCTCTCTGGTATCCAAAGTACCTGGCCAAGCTCCAGCTGGTGGATCACATCTGGTTTGGCAACTCAAAGTCCTGAAAATGGGAAAGGGCTCTTAGAGAGACTCCTCAGAATCCAAGCCCAGTCCCTTCTCTCTCTAGGAACAAGTAGCCGTGCTAGGAAGACCCAGAGAGCAGGACAATGGGTCCCGAAGGACACAGTACTGTGTTCCTAGGGATTTGGGACAATGGGTCACAGAGTCAACTTGAGCTAAGACAGAAAATGATTTCATTTGACCAAGGGCCTGCTAAGACACTGGTACCTGGGGCTTTAGGGGAGAACCTCTAACTTGAAGGAACAGAGTAAGGGAGGGACCACCTCAGGAGACCTGTAATCAAGCAGATGCTCTCCCATTCTACAGACCAAGGGCTTTTTTTTTTCTGGGAACAGGCAGAAGTACTTTGTCCTGTAGCTACAAAGGGAGTAGCCATCTCGGCTGTTCCAAAGCGTGACTGATCACTAACAAAGCTTGAGAAACTCCACAGCACGTACAAAGGAGGGAAGCAGAGAGCCTCTACCAGACAGACTCCGAGGCCTAGGGTCGTCCTCCTTACCCAAGGAGGCCAGGTTCCACAAGTGCTCCAGCATCACATCCCTGTACAGCGCCTTCTGAGAAGGGACCAGCTGCCCCCACTCCGCTGGGGTGAAGTCCACAGCCACCTCTTCGAATGTCAGCGACTCCTGAAATAACCAACATGTCTCTGCCTACCCAGATCTCCTCCATATGCGCCTGGGAGGACGGGGGAAGTTGGCCGGAGCTTGGAGCATGTGAGAGGGAATCACCCGGAAGGCCGGCTGCAGTCAGACTGGGAGAGATTTGTACTGGGATTTATGGAGCAGGGGAGTGACACGTCAAACCCATACCTTAGGAATCCCAGTTTGGAAGCTGGGAGGAGGCCAGGGTGGCCAGGGAGAGACTGAATGCATAGAGACCAATGAGGGGGCCCTGAAATAGCCCAGGAGAGAGGCGATAAGGGCCGAGCTAAGGTGGGGTGGTAAGAGTGGAGAGGAGAGAAGAATGGGTCCAGCAGGAAGGAAACCTAGGGAAGAATCGGGGCTGACTGAGTTTATAAACCTGAGGAAAGTGAGCAGGAGGGGCAGGAGAGAGTTTAGAGAGGAAAACAGTGAGTTCTGTTCCAGACATGCTGAGCTTGAGTTAGCCATCCAACATCCAGGTGAAGATTTCCAATCGGCAATTAGTGATGCTGGAGAGAGGGGGCAGGATGTGCAGGAAGAGAGGATAACTGAAGCCATGGAACTGACAAGATCAAAAGGGCCCATGACAGAGTCCTCAGGCACCCCCACACAAAGGGGACAGGTCAAAGAAGAGGTGGGAAGCTAGGTAAGACAGCCTCACCACAACAAGGGAAGAAAGGGGGCACTCAACTCTGTCAAACACTGCAGGGAGCTGGAGAATGATGAGGGCTCGGAAAAGGGGGCTGGATTTACAATTAAGTGATTGTAAACAATGGTGGAAAAAGCATTTTCAGGCAAGCCGGGGACTCGAAGCCAGCTTGAAAGAGGCTGAGCAGCTGAAGAAATGAAGGCAAGAAGTGTGGACAGTGTAAAGACGGCATCAAAACCACCCTAATCAACATCCTTGATGGCTACATGAGAACATCTCTCAGCCAATCAGTCATAGGCTTTAGACTAAGTAAAATGACACCATACAGGAAATCTGTGCCAGGTGGCCCAAGGATCCTACATGAAAGCACTGAGTTAGCTAGAATGGAGGGGATCCAGAAATTGAAACAAGCTAAAACCACCCAAAAGGCATGACCTGGTTGGGGGAGGGAAGAGGAAGAAGAGGCCCCCTCCCTTCCTCCCCACCCCCTTCAAGTTGAGCCTTGGATCTCCTTCCTGCCCCACCCAGATTTGGCCAAGGGGCCATTTAAGTTTCAAAGGCTCTGGAGGATTGGGAACTTCCTGTTTTCTCATCCACATCCTAGTCTCACATCCCTAGGATCTTAGCAGCTGGATGTATGTTCTCAGACACACACATACTGGATTCACTCAGTGAATTCAGAATTTACCGTTCTTCTATTTGAGAACCCGATAAATGGAAGAAAAGCAGCCGAGAGCTATGGGTCCCTTCTTTACCACATGAGCTCTCTAAGCTTAAGGCCACTTTCCCCTGGACTCTACATACAGAAGGGCGAGTGACACAGACTTTGATGGGGATATTTCCTACTAACTGGTCTCACTATATGACTTCAGGAAAAGTCCCTCTCCAACAACTACGTAAGACTGAATAAATCGATTTTCAATTTTTAATCTTGGGGAAGAAGTACTTGGGGAGGCTCGAGCATGGAAGCAGAAAAAGCTACACCATTGCTCTTCCTCTGGGACCCAAGATTCACCCTTGAGCATGGGAATTGGGATAAAAATGCCACAGAGTTTACCCAGACTGCATGTAGGAACACATCCAGGAGAAATAACGGGCCCTTCATGTGTTCAAGGGCTAAATGGAGAGATTCTCCACCAAGGAATTTTGTTTTTAGGTAGATCAGAGGGGTCAAGCACACAGCAATGTGGCCCGTAAACACTCCTAAGTCACATTAAAATGTAACTGGGAAATATTTAACAAAATAAATGACAAATTCAACAGAACAAAGACAATGTTAACATGTGGCTACCTAAGTCAGTATGTTGCCCAGAGGGATCTTTATGTACAGCTTAGTGGCCCCATTTCTATCTGAGTTTGACATCACTGCCCTATTACACTCATTTAAATTATAATTACACAGCAGCCAGTTTTCCCAGTATGTTTCTTTACAAGTCAGAGCTGAGATTATTTTTGCAGACTTTGACACTGTTGATTTGTTGAATGTTTAAATACTGCTAGGCTGACTTCCACAGAAGTATGGATATTAGGGCTATGTATGGACTTTGCATTACTAAATGCTCATAAAGGTTCATATTGTCATTCTTTTGTATTTAGACAGACCAAGATTTCTTGCTTTATTTTCAGATACTCCAGCATCATAGGTCCAATGGATAAGGTTTGCCCGTTGGCCTAGAAACCCTAAATAACCAACCCCATGGGCTTAATTCATTTTCTTGGGAGTCTCACACTTGTTCGGGGCTTCTCTCATCTTATTTTCTTTACTCTCCAACAGCAGTTGGTTGTCCCGTTGTTGGAATTCCAATACAAGTGCCCTTACAGTGGCAAGGATTCTGAGGGAAATTTCAGGTGCCCCTTGATAGAAAGACCCAGAGGAAGTCTTCCTGGACCTTCAAGAGAATTACCTACGGTACAGGATTCTCTAGAACAATGTTAGCGTGCTTTGTGTATAAAGGGACACCTAGAAATTATGTCCTGACCACAGTTAGGATGGCCCTGTGCACTGAGGGAATCAGAAGAGTTTTCAACAGGACAGTTTTCTTTCCGACCTGAAGGTGAGGGGACGCCTGGTCCCTAATCCCTGTGGGGAGAAGCCCACATGCTCAGGGAATACTGTATGAGAGCAGGCTTTCCCTTTGCAAAGGAAGGCTTGATTCTCTTTTCTTTGTTTTGGGATGAGGAAGGCCCTTTTTGCAAGAAACAAGACCAGTAACCTATTTGAATTTTGTGAAATGATAACAGTTTGTTAAATTGTATCACCATGTACTTAGAGTATGGAAGATGTTGAAATTACCAAATGTGAAGAGAAAGAAGTAAACTTCACCCAGGTAACAGATTCTCTGAAAAACAGAATAGACTAAACAGAACTCAATAACTCCATGAGACAGCAAGAAACATTTGAACCACAGCAAAAAATTGAAAGAATAAAAGAAAATGTAAGATATCATTTTTTAAAAATTCACCTAGAAAACGGGTGAAGGAGAGATCATTTAAAAAGTCATAAGTGAAAACTACCCTGATATATTAGAACAGGAAAGCAAAATAATGACAGGAAGGATCCACTGGTCACTTCCTAAAGTCCCAAAAAGGAAAAGTCTTTGGAATGTCCAAGCCAAAATCCAGGGGTCCTACTTCAAAGGAAAAAAAATACTGCAAGCATTCAAAAAGAAGTGGTACAAGTACCAAGGAAAACACAAGAGTTGACAACTTCTAGCAGAGATGAGAGGAGATCTTGGAACACAATGTTCTAAAAGGCAAAAGACAGAGACATAACCAAGACTTACCCTGAAAAGCTAAGTATAATCATAGATCCTTAATGAAAAGAAGACTTTCAAGTATTTCTGATGAAAAACACTAAAGCGAAGTAGGAATCTTGAAATACAAAGAGTAAAAAGAAACCTAGAAAGATGAATTTGAGTAATTGGAAGGGGCTATGTGATGTACTGCTAATAGTCTACATTTTAATGGGGTGAGGGGAGCAAGTGTCCCTTCAGATCCTTGACGTCTTCAAAGGGTAGTAAGGGAGCTAAATGAGAAAAGCAGAGGATCTGGTGATTACATTCCATTAAAAAGGTTTTAAGAGGGAAAAGGGAACGCTGTTACTGTTTGTCCTTTTTTTTGAAGAGGACCAATGACATCACGGGATGATGAGCTGGATTTAAGTGAAGCAGAGTCGCACAAAGTTGTTGAAATCCAGCATCAAGACAAAAATCAAGATGACTGGTAATGGCCCGGAGGCAGTGAATGACCCTGGATGAACTCTGATGTCTGACCAACCTCTAAAACACTCTAGACGCCCGCTTTAGCCACCTTTATGGTTGTTTGAACAAATTGTTCTCCTCCACTCATTCCACTGGGGCAGTGTTCACATGCTTGGATGGACATCCCCCTGCTCACTGACAAGTCTGAGGCCTGTCAGTTACCCTCAACCTGGGTTAGCCCATCTGCCAAGATGGTTTTACTGGGTATGGCCACTGTGCATGCTACAGCTTCTTGGAGCCACAAGTGAGAGCTGGGTGAAAGGCAGACACCAAAGGTAGATGAGCAGCCCTGAAAAGGGCTTGGCAAGCCCTCACACCTCCTTGATCACTCCATACACCTCAAGAGGGTGAGAGATGATTTTTTTTCTATTATTAATAACCAATTATTAAATCAGGATGAAAGTTTTTCCTTTTATTTTTTTCCCTTTACTTCCTCATTCAGGGAAGCTCTCTGAAGGACAGGGTTGGTGATGAGATTAGCCTAACCCTCCAAGAACACTCTCCTCAATCTTGGGTGGGACCCTACCTAGCAGGGAGAGCTGATTTTTGATTGAAGTGTAATGAGAATCGAATCTAGTTGAAATCCAAAATCCTAAAGCATTAGGCTCATGTCCCTGAAACCTCCATAGTTCAACTTAAGTGCTCTGGGTAAAGATATTGGGACTCCAAATTGCTGGAGGCAGCTGAGTCCCAAGATCAAGTCAGTTTTCAGCCGGAAGAGCTGAAGGCTTTTGGCCTGTCTCCTCATTAATATGTATACCCCCTCATTAATGGTTCACCAATCAGGGTTGACCTCTGCCTGTCAAGGGCACTCACTCTTCCAAAGTTATTTAAGCACTGATGATCTCCTTACCCAGAGAGACCACTGACCATCAAGTCATCGATTATTTGCTAGCCTAATTAATAAACTGATTATTAATTACCCCGAAACTCTGTCTCTGGGCTTTTCATTCGAATCAAGGGGAAAGAGAAGTGAATACACTAGTACAGAAAGGTGGAAGAAAGGGTGGTCTTGGATTGAACAGGGGAGAAACTAATAAGGGCCATTAGAAGTCACTTACTAGCAATATTATCCAACAAGACATTTTCCCCTCTGAAATTTCCTCCTCTGCAAAGTGGATATTACATGGACTACCAGGCATTTTTTGTGACTTACACTTCAAATCTTAAAGTATTGATATGATACTTTTGTCCACTTTTAGACTGTAGGGAACTCCTGGTATGAACTTTCTTCCAGCAGTGCAGATCAGTAACTCACATGCAACATATGATGCTAGAAAGTTCCCTGCATGTGTCAGAGGCAGGACCTGAACTCGGGCCCTGGAACCATGACACCATGCTGCCTCTCATGCCAGAAGTATTTATTATTGCTCTGTTAATTCTTATGCTCCTTTTGCTCCTCTCCTACATCAAGGTCAGTATTAAGCACATAGCCGCCCTGGAAGCCATGAGAAACAAAGGAATGAGCGCTGGGTATAGAAGTGATGGGCATGAGGTGACTAGGAAGAATTCCCTATGGGGGGCATGCTCTAGGGAGGCAGTCTGGTGAGGGTGAGGGGGTGAGCTCTGGAACCAGCTCTACCATTTACAACTTGTACAGCTTTGAAGAAGTGGCTTCCCCTCTGGGGGGAGGGGGCAGGCTAAAAATGCTTCCTAAGCTCTCCTCCTGTGCCCCATCTATGACCTGCTAATGATCCTATTCACTAGGTCAGGACATGGAAAGCAAATTCATCCACAGTGAAGTGATTTGTCAAAAAAAAAAAGGAAACTCCCGCTCATCTGGTGGGGAGCCTTACCAGCCAGGAGTACAGGGGCCATTCTCTCATCTTCAGGGTTCCCCAGTATTAGGGAGAGGCATGGTTCTCCAAAAATAGAACTGGAGAACTGAAGAAAAGGGAACGATGACAGGGAGCAGCCCTACCTCATAGGCTCCCTTCCCTGCTGAGGTGGATGTCAGAGGGATTGAACTCGGGTCAGCTGCCCGAGTTCAATCCAGTAAATGATAAGTGTACGTGAACACACACTCCGCAAGAGTACACACACACACACACACACACACACACACACACACACACACACACACGCAGTACCTCCCTTTAAAGAGCCCTCATTCTACTAAGGCCATAGACAAATAACTACAACACACCTTGATAGGGCAGCAAGCCCTTCTGGGAACTCAGTGCCCTAGAGTGCAATAAGCACTGGATTGGAGTCTAAAGTCCTGGGTTCAAATCTCAGCTTTGTTATTTATTATCCAGGGGATCTTGGGCAAGCTACCTCCCCCTTCCCCCATTTGTAAAATGAGGGGGTGAGACTAGATGGTCTCAAACTAGCTCTGGCACCAGGATCCTAGGACGATCATCAACACCTAGGAGTTCGGGAGGATGGAGGAAGACGGCTTCAAGGGGAAGGGGAGCAGATGAGGAGGGGGAGAAGGAAGAGATGAGGTAAGAGGAAAGGGAGGCGGGGGAGGGGAGGAACTCAGGTTAGAGGAGAAGGACAACTGGTCAGAGGAGGTGGAGGGGAGACTAGGTAGGTGAGGGGAGATCCTGGTCAGGTACTGGGGGGCCGTCAGGGAACAGAAGGAGCTCTAGCGCTGGGAAACTGGGAGAAAAGAAGCCGAGGAGGCTAGGCGGGAGCGACCCTTCTGATTGGGCCACATTATTATCCCCGCCCTCCCACGGTCCAATGGGCACTCGAGCTCATCGAGGGGGCGTGGCATCATCTGCAGCAGCGTCAGAGCCCGAGTACGCACGTGCGATGGGCCCCGCCCCCCGCCCCCTAGTGGGAAGGGAGTCTGGGGAACATGGCGCCGGACGCCTCACCCCATCCGAGGTCCCGCCTACCTCGCTGCCTGCTGGTGGGATCTGGGAGCCCGCACAGGGTGGGGAATAGCAGGCCGAGGGCCTGCGAGATGTGGAAGTTCCTGACCGAACGGGGAAGAGAGAAGGGAGAAGTCACGTGGGCACTAGCACCCTCCTGCCTTTTTGACTGCAAGGGCTTCTGGGAAAGTAGTTCTCAGGCGCGGGCGACTTGTGCGCATGCTCCGGAGAGGTCCCGTACGGTCCTCTGGTGTGGAAGTGTTCGCTGTCTCGTTGAAGATCGGGCACGGAGCCCCGTGCTCGTCACTTCCCTTATCGGATACTGTCTATCCACCCCATGTGTAGATACGACGTACCTGTTGAGTCGGTGTCTCTCCCTGTTAGACTGGAAGCTCCTTGAGGGCAGGGACTGTTTGTGCCCTTCTTTGATTCGCTGGCACGGCAGAGGCATAGGTGCGTGTTGGCCGCCTCCGCTGGGCTGTGAGCTCAGGGGCTTTCCCTTGCTCTTTCTGTCCCAGACGAACCCCAGACTCTCTGAGCCTTAGTGAAAATCTTTGGACTTAACTGGGGCTGTGGAGAGCGCGGTGTAGACAGCACGATGGCAGCTGGTCCTAGACCCCGTACAGAGATGCTGGAGTGGAGATGCGCAGGAGGCAAAATCCCAAATTAGAGCTTGCAATAAAAACCTCGGTTGGCCTCAGATGTCTATGGGTAACAACTGAGCTTAATCCGTGTGTCCCCCCCGACCTGAACCCCATGTGGGGGAAAAAACTAGTATCTTACGTTCTGCACCCTTACTCCACCACCTCTTCACAGAAGAATGGAGTGTATTTCCATGTCAGTCAGCTGGGATCAGTTCTATTTGATAAAAGCCTGGGGCTGGGGATTCAAAGATAAAAATTTTAAACTTCCTGCCCGCAAGGAGCTTGCTGGGGTACCTTCGTTTTCAAAGAGGACCAATGACATCGGGGTAATATCTTGACTTGGGAGTAAATTGGATAGAAGTGAGGCAGAGTTGGCCAAAGTTCTCGGCCTCACTCTCTTTCCAGAGTAATCGAAGTTCTTGTCATTGAGCACTTGTTCAGCCATGTCCAGCTCTTTGTGACCCTTTGGATTGTACTAGGCCAGGCCCTCCTATCTCTTCTATCTCCCAAAGTTGGTCCGAGCGCATGTTGCTTCCATGACGCTACCCATCTAATCCGTTGCCTTCCCCTTTTCCTTTTGCCTTCAATCTTTACCAACATTGGGGGCTTTCCCAACAAGTCTAGTCTTCTCATTATGTGGCCAAAATATTTAAGATTCAGTTTAAATTAATTTCTCCAATTATTTCTGAATGAATGTCTGTAAGTATTGACTAATTTGACCTTCTTGCTGCCTAAGGGACTCTCAAAATCCTTCTCCAGCCCACGGTTTGAAAGTGTGGATTCTGTGGTGCTCAGTTTTCCCTGTAATCCAGTGCTCACAGCCGTACATTGCTATTTGGAAAACCGTAGCTCTGACTATACCAACCTTTGTGGGCGAGGTGAAGCCTCTGCTTTTTCATGTGCTGTCCAGATCACTGTGGCTTTGCTTCCAAGGAGCAGGCATCTTTTCATTTTATGACTGCAGTCACCATCAGCAGGGATCTTTGAGCCCAAGAATATAAAATCTGACTCTGCTTCCATTTCCTCTCCCTCTGTTTGCCAGGAAGTGATGGGACCCATTGCCAAGATCTTAGTTTTTTTTTTATATTATGCTTCAAGCCAGCTTTTATACTCTCCTCTTTCACCCTCCTCAAGAGGTTTCTTAATTCCTTTTCACTTTCTGCCTTCAGAGTGGTATCATCTACACATCCGAGACCATTGACATTGTTCCCATAAGCCTTAATTCTGGCTTTTGATTCATGTAGCTTGGCATTTCACATGGTGTACTCTGCAGGTAAGTTAAATAAATAAGGTGGCAATATACAACCTTGTCGTACTTCTTTTCCAACTTAAACCAATCAGCTGTTTCATGTTCTGTTCTAATTGATGCTTCTTGGCCCCCATTCAGGGTCCTCAGGAGACAAGTAAGGTGATCTGGTCCTCCCATCTCATCCACGTCCAGCAGCAGGACAAAAATCAACATGGCTGGTGATGGCCCAGTTTGCAGCAGATGCAAATCGTGACCAAGCTCTAAGCACTCCATAGTACCTGCTTCAGCTGCCTTCATGGCCATTGGAACAAATTGTTCTCATCTGCCCATTCTGCTGGGGAAGGTCTTCACATGCTTGGGGGTAGACATCCCCCTAACTCATCAGTGGGTTGGAGGCCGGTCAGTTACCCTCAACCTGGTTTAGTCTGTCTGCGGAGATGGTTTTACTGGGGTGTGGCTGCTGCGCATGCTACAGCTTCTTGGAGCCACAAATGAGAGTTGGGGGACAGCTAGGTAATGTAGTGGATAGAGTACTGGCCCTGGAGTCAGGAGGACCTGAGTTCAAATCTGGCCTTGACAAATCCGTCCAATCTGACACTTGACACTTACTAGCTATGTGACCCTGGGCAAGCCACTTAACCCCATTGCCCAGCGTGGGGGAAAAAAACAGCAAATGAGAGTTGGGTGAAGGTAGACACCAAAGGTGGATGAGCGGCCCTGAAAAGGGCTCAGCTAGTCCTCCCTGAACATCCCATAGACCTTCAAGGAGCTCACATTCTACAGGTAGGAACAGCATGTCAATGGGTATTACTGTTGCTCAGTCATTTTTCAGCCGTGGCCAACTCTTTGTGACCCATTCTGGAATTTTTAAAATTTTAACTTATTTATTTTTAGTTTTCAATATTCACTTCCATAAGATTTTGAGTGCTAAATTTTCTCTCCCTCCACTCTCCCCTCCCCAAGACAGCATGCAATCTGATATAGGCTCTACATATACTTTCATATTAAACATATTTTCACATTAGTCATATTGTAAAGAAGAATTAGAACCAATGGGAGGAACCACGAGAATGAAGCAATAAAACAAACAAACAAAAAAGAGCAAATAATATGTTTTGATCTGCAATCAGACTCCGGAGTTCTTTCTCTGGATGTGGAGAGCGTTTTCTATCGTGAGTCTTTTGGAGTTGTCTTAGAAGAGCCAAGTCTATCACAGTCAGTCATTGCGCAAGGTGCTGTTACTACATACAATGTTCTCCTGGTTCTGCTCACTTCACTCAGCGTCAGTCCATACGAGTCTTTCCAGGTTTTTCTGAAGTCGGCTTGCTCATCATTTCTTATAGCACAGTAATATCCCATCACAAACATATACCACAACTTGTTCAGCCATTCCCCTACTGATGGGGATCCCCTCAATTTCCAATTCTTTGCCACCACAGAAAGAGCTGCTATAAATGTTTTTGTATGTGTGGATCCTTTTCCCATTTGTATGATCTCTTTGGGATACAGCCCTAGAAGTAGTATTCTGGGATTTTCTTGGCAAAAATACTGCCATTTTCTTTTACAGATGAGGAAACTGAGGCAAACAGGATTAAGTGACTTGCCCAGCTAGTATGGTCTGAGGCCAGATTTGAACTCAGGAAGATGAGTCCTCCTGACTGCAGGCCCAGTGCTTTGTGCACTATGGTTTAGCTGCCCTTATCGATGGATAAGTAAATACAGAATTAACACCCAGTGACTACATGGTGTTAGAAGCACTAAAAACTGGGGGATTGAGCCTCGATCTTTCCATTTGACTAATGGTCCAGAGCTTTACCATCCTAGTGTTGATTGAAAGACATAGCGTGTATGGGATCCCACTGTGTTAATTGTGTTAATGTGCTTGTCATGACTTGTTTACAATAAAATACTATGTGGGTTACATGATGCAATATTGCAGCATCAAAATTCAATGCAGGAAAAACCACACAAATTTACAATAAATTATTAAATTTAAGAGGCATGATTTTAAAAAACCTTTTTTTTGAAATTGTGCAAATTTTCAAAAAACCATTAAAGGGTTAAAGAAAGTAGATGGGGGGGGTTCACTGAGTAATTTTTTTTAAAGGGGCAGTAGGCCCAATAAGTTTGGGAACCTCTGATTAAGGCATACCAGTGTCAGTTAAGTAATCAAACAAGCATTATGAGTGAGGATTAGTGGAGGGGGGTTCTGAGAATTTGCAAGGAGTAGCGCTTATCTATCCATCTATCTATCTATCTATCTATCTATCTATCTATCTATCTATCTGTTGCTCTATCTATCACTCTGTCTATCTATTCTTTTGTTTATTTGCTTTTAGGTGATTTTCTGGAGTATGCTGGAGCCAAGAGAGCTGATTGTTAAATTTTCAATGAGAGCATTTACACCTCAGAAGTCAGCAAATGCTACAACTCAAGATTAGATTTATTGTTTTGTTGATTGTCTAGGCTTAAGAAAATGATGGAGAAAATGTTACTATTGCAGGTTCAACTTAAAAGCATGCTTTGCGTACTCCCTCCCACACACTGAGAGCCGGTTGTTAAACATTTTCTAGGACACCCCTGAGATTTTCATTTTTAAAAATTTTGAAATGACTAGTTTCTATTGTATTAACTTGTAGTTTTGAGTACAGAACAAATTTCACATCTTAGGTGCAGAGCAGCCCTGCTTGGCTGTTTTCTGTTCTTGCTTCTACTATCTTTTGTGCATAAAAAATACATTTTAATTGATGATCTTTTTCTTTTCTTTCTGTTATTCACCACTAGCCTCCTTTTCCTTCCTCAAGTCCCACCCCATGTCCCCAAAGCCTTCTTTGGTAACAAATAAACATAGTCCTGCAAAACAAGTTCCCGCATTGGCTGTGTTTGGAAAGGTTTGTCTCATTCTACACTATCCATCTGTGTCAGGGGGAGGGTAGCCAACCTCATGAACAGTCTTCCAGAATCATGATTGGTCATCTGTGTCTCAGAGTTCTAAAGTCTTCCACTAATGGTTTTCTTTGGTAATCGAGTCTTAAAAATTATTCTTCTGGTTTTGCCCCCTTCACTCTGCATCAGTCTGGTGGCTGGACTAGAGAGGTAGCTGAGGATTGGTACCTCCTCTCCCCACCTCCCGCAGGGAAATTAGGCATGGATTGTCTTCATTTATAGAGATTTCCCCTTTAGTTTGAAACCTCCGATTTTCAGTAAAGTGTGAAATCTTTCTCATATTTGTTGATGGCAAAAGGCTTCACACTCACAAGATTGATCCTAAGA